CGGTCCTTTTCAGAAATAAGGACCTCAGGAAAGATGTCTTTCGACGCCTGGCCCTCATCCACTGAGTTGACCAGCTTCTTGATGTTGTCTTTGGTGCCCCGGATGGTAGGACCCCCTCCGGCAAAACCGCCTGCTATTGTGAAGATGGTCTCTTCATCCGTCTCGGAGTTTGCTGGGCCGGTTTTTGCCGCCTGCCCTTTCTTGGCCTGGGTATTACCCTTAGCCTTGGGTAGGTAGGATTTTAGGGCCCCCTCATCTGCCAGACGGTCCAATAGCCGCCTGAGGCTATAGCAGCCATCGGTGTCGTGGCCGACATCCTCGTGGTATTGGCAATACTTGCTCTTGTCCCGTTTATTCACGGGGCTTTTCATTTCAGCCGGTTTGTCGAGAGACATCCGACCTTTGATTTCCAGGAGGATGGTGGAGCAATCTTTTGCGAACTCGTATTTGGGAGCATACGATTCTGACTTCCGCCTGATCTTCTGGGCCGGCTGTCCTGATCGGTCAGCTGCCCAGACCCCTTTTCTCTTTTCTTCCTTTCTTGCCGGCTGATGCTGTTGCCGGCTCTCTTTTTTGTCAGACTTTTTATAATCTGACGGCTGCTTGACAGCACAAAGCTCCGTCGCCTGTATATAGGCTTCAACTTCAATTAACGCCTCTTGGAGGGTAGCAACCCTCTTCCGGACGAGGTCAAACTTAAAGGTCGACCCATCCTTCAGACCTCGAAAGAAGTGTGTATAGGCCACTTCGTCTGATAGTCCTGGAATCTGAATTCTCATCAGATTGAACCGTCTGACGTATGACCGGAGGCCCTCCCGGTCGCCCTGCTGTATTGCCCCTAGGTCGAGGCTAGTCTTTTTGGCAGGAATATTCATTGAGAAATTTGACGTAAACAAGTACGCCAAAGTTCGAAAGCTGTTGATGCAACCGGCTGGTAGGTTACCAAACCACCGCTGGGCTATGCCCTTGAGGGTAGCTGGGAAGCATCGACACCAGACGGCATCATCTAACCCCTGGAGGTACATGAGGTTAGAGTAGGCCATTAGATGGTCTTCTGGGTTGGTGGTGCCGTCATAGGCCCCCACCAAAACATTCTTGATCTTAGGCGGCTGTGCCGCCTGGGTTATCTCTGGTGAGAACGCCGTTGGCTGTTCCCCCAAATTTAGCAGGCGCAGCTGCCAGTCCGTGGGTTGGAACGGCTGCTGCGCTTGCCCACCGAAAAGACCCGGTGACATAAAAGGGGATCCACCCAACCCATTCGGTGTGCCGAATAGGCCAGGCTGGATCACTTTGGGTCCAGACCGGGCAGAAGCTTCGCCCGTCTGGCTCCCAAGGTTCGTTCCCGTACGCCTGTGTGAGACGTCATGGAAACTGTCCGGGAAGGTCGACGTTGAGGCCGACGCAGACGCCTGACCTCGCTTCTCTTGGAGAAATGTGCGGGCGTCTGAGAATGTTTTCTTGGAGCCATCCGGCTGTACGTGCCGGATGGCCTTTCGCAGCTCCCCTTGAGGAAAACGGAGTCTGCTTGGATCAAACCTTAAGCCCTCCCCCTCCTTTGGCTTGGGATGAGGGGTAGGAACTCGTTCTTTGACCGCCTTCTTTCCAGAAGGCTTCTTGGCCGGCTGACCCTTCTTTGGAGTAGCTGACCGGATGAGGCTCTTGATCTCACCCTTGAAACTATTCATGAAAGACATGAGTTCGTTTCTTGTAACGGGGGCTGAGCCCTCCACCGTTTGGGCAATTCCAGCCGGTTGCCCGGCTGGGTTGCTGGGAGCAGCTTGGCTGATTTTCCGTTCTCTTCTATCTTTAGCACGAGGGTGCTTCGTTCTGAAAGACCCATCCGGGGCCACATATGTTTCAATTTTGTCTCCACTTTCATGGTCCGTCTGGACCTCAGGCTCGACCACAGGCCGTTTGCCCTGATTCGGTGACACAGTATCAGAAGTCATCTTAGAAGTACTCTCCCCACAGACGGCGCCAAATGTTTCGGGGTTTTTTTATGTGTCCTGCGGGAGAGTTACAATTCCAAGAATGCCCTTCGACGCCTGTGCCTGCAAAATCACGAAGACTCCTGGGGGTAGGAGCTCCGCCTCCGACGATCAAGTTAGTAAAGATACGGGAGGTAGAATGCACGTAATGTAGAAGTTACTTCTCGCGTAATGGGAGAATTCTGCAATTAATATTGCTCGGGGTAAGTGTTTTTCTTTTTGAGGAGTATTCAATGTGAACAACAAATGTTCCAGCCTCCCATTAATGAGGGTCCTTCCACTATTTATAGTGGGGAAGGGATGGTTTCCTTTTAGGGTTTAGAGGACACGTGTCAGCAGAGGATTGGAGCCCTGCTGACCAACGGCTGGATGCCACGTGTCACTAGGCCATTGGGCCACGTGTTTAGGGTATTTTTACCCCAAACAACTTGTATTTGTTATTGATGATCATGGATCAACAAGTCAAATGTCTCTCTATAACGATTACTTCAAGATAAGATGATGATTCCAATAAAATTACTACCATTATGTCATTTTAGGTAATTTCTTCACGCTCTTTTAAATTATTAATCAAGCCATAGGCTAAAAATACAACGTTAATAATCGTTTAAAGTTGCTTGAACTTGAATCACTCAACTCGTCAAAATTTGATAAACCTAAAATTTATAGTATACTGAGTATTAAATTACTAATGATAATACGGAGTAATTATTTTGATTAAATTGATGCAAATTTACACATTATCTACCGCTAAAAAATAAGTAAGAATTCAACAACATTATATCCCTTAGCTTGATATATCAAATTTAAATATGTTATATATTATGTGCAACAATTAGGTATTTTTGTATTCCAATTAATTGTTGCACATAATGTGAAACATCGGTAACTGATACTTGAAGCTTTTTAATGTTTAAGGTCAAACTAAAATACGTAGTAAAAGGGAAATAATGCAAGCACTCAATGCCCTGTTTGTTAATTAGCGGTTAGCTGATTGATAAAAAGCTGGTTGCATTAGCTGGTTTGACTAGCTTATTGTATTAGCTGTTTTAATTGACTAGCTGATTGAATTGGTAAGAGCTTATTATGTAGAGTTGTTTGGTAAAATTAGCTTATTAATTGTAGTTGTTTGTTAGTTGAACACATGAAATGACAATTTAGGACATTGACATTTTTTTTACTTGTAAATAATAATATCATTGCAAACTATAATACCATATATATATCCTAAAAAAAATTACTTTTTTACAAAGCATTTTATATGGTTCCATAATTGACAAATTAAAAAAAAATTAAAAAAAACTTGCTTAATACAATTATACAAGCAATTATTTTTTAACTTCCATAGACCTTCAGTAGCTTCATGGAGGAAAGAAGGAGAAATGCTTTGGTAAAAAAAAACGGCTGAAATGCTTCATGGTTGAATAGTTTTAGGGTAAGAATTTGGGAGGGCAGCGCAAAAATGTCATTTGACTTTTATTATTCAATCAGCTAACTCAAAAAGCTCTATTTTTTACTAGTTTTTTACAAATTAGCTGTTTTGCCCCAATCAGCTCATTTAAAAAGCTTTTTTTTTTTTTTTTTACCAAACACCCAAAATAGATGATTGGGGTAGTCAAACCTCTAAATTGGTCAAATAAGCTCTTTTACGGTCAAAACTCTAATTACCAAACATCCCCAATATATATCAAATCAAATTGCTATTTTACCTTTTTTTTTTGAATAAATATGTATTTTTTTTAAATAGAATAAATATGTACTTCCTTCTATTAAAGTCTTTAATACTACGTAGTTTATTCGATACAAAATATTAAAATTTGTCAAAAAAAAAACAAAATATTAAAATAAAATTTTTGTCTTTGTTACCGACTTAGGCCCCGTTCTTTAGAACTGCTTTGCTCTGCTTTGCTGAAATATGCTTTTCTCTGCTCTGCTTTGCTGAAATCTGCTCTGCTATGCTCTGCTCTATTCTACTTAAAATTAATACTTAATATTGAATTATTAAAATAATAATTAATATTTAATAATAATAATAAATAATAAATATTTAATAATAATAATTAGTATTTAATAAGAATAATAATAAATAATTAATATTTAATAATAATAATTAATATTTAATAAGAATAATAATAAATAATTAATATTTAATAATAATAAATAAATAATATTTAATAATAATAATTAATACTTAATAATAAAAATAATAATAATAATTAATTATTAATATTTAATAATAATAAAAATAAATTAATAATATTTAATAATAATAAATTATTAATAATAATATTATTAATAATAATAATTAATATTTAATAATAATAATAATAGTAATAATAATAATAATTAATATTTAATAATAATAATAGTAATAATAATAATAATTAATATTTAATAATAATAGTAATAATAATAGTAATTATACTAATAGTAATAATAATACTTATAACTATTAATATTAATTATAATAACAATAATTGATTTTTATAATAACAATTAATTTTAAGATAATAACTAATATTTAAAGATAATACTAATTATTAATTTTTAATAATAATAATAATTCAATAATATTTAATAATAATAATAATTATAATTAATATAATAATAATAATAATTAATATTTAACTTTAAAAATTTAATGATTAATGCGATAATATTAGTAGTAGTAGTAATAATAATAGTAGTAGTAGTAGTAGTAGTAATAATAATAATAATAATAATAATAATAATAATAATAATAATAATAATAATAATAATAATAATAATAATAATAATCAAATCTGCTTTGCTCTGCTCGGCCCGACTCGACTCTACTCTGCTAAAATCTGCTATGCTTTGCCCAGAAACTCAAAAGAACAGAGCCTTATTGCCACAAGCCTACAAGTCCACAACACTAGCAAGAGAATGCCTCTATTTTTATTTTTTTTGGGCAATAGGTCGGTAACAAAGACACAAATTTCATGGTTAGAATCATTAATCCATAATTACGAGTATTTTTTTTTTCCAAAATTTAAACGTGTAAAAATAAAAAATTGAAAAGAAAAGCCTGGAAAAAAAATGGTAGGGAATAGACACGTAATGCTGTCGACAAGGCAGTAACCAGTTAGTTTCCCTTCCATCGAAGCTCTTTGTATTCTCACCAAAGAAATTCGGAATTAAGAATTCCCCTTTTCTTCCTACAACCGCCTGTCCCCTCTTCTTTACTCTTAATTTTCCTATTATTATTCCTAATTCTTTTGATTTTCTAACTACCCCTAAATAACTGGGAAAAAATATCCCTTCAAGATAAGATTTTTCCTAAGTTTTTACACTTATTAATGAATTTAAACACTTCCCAGATAAAAATTATTTGGTGGGTTTGAGTTCAACTTCAATTCTGTTTTTGGGATTTTTTTTATTTGATTAATTTGATGGAAAACGGTATTGTTCTGGAAAACGGTGTTTGTCACAAGGATACTGGTAATGGAGGACAAGATGTCTGGAATTGTGAGAATGGAGTCTCTTCACCTTCTTCTGCTGATCATCTTGTTGTTATGGTTCATGGCATTCTTGGCAGGTTTATATTTTATTTATTTTTATGCATTTATTTTTGTAATTTGGTAATTTTGGGGTTTTTTGATCTGATCCTGTATATGATCATAACCTTGATTCAACTGGGTCAAACTTAGTTTCATGTTTGTATACTTTAATTTTGGTTAATTGTTGGAAAATTCATGAAATTTTGGTTTGTTTTGATGAATTTTGAGTTGGTTATTGTTGCATTTGTTACTAAATTTTGGTTCTTTTAGTGTTCGAAATTTCTGGAAAACTTCCTACTTTGGATTTTTAAATTTAAAAAAAAAAAAAAATCATGTTATGTGATTCCATATTAGTTGGAGATAATTTTGTTTGTATTCGTCGGCAGATTTAGTTTATGTAATTAGGTTTAAGCCCATAAGGCCATAATTGAACAAAATTGGAGTCAATTTCAGTCCACTTTCTATTTATGAATTGGTAAATTGTGAAATTACATGGGATTTAGACTAATTTTTAATGATTGGGTATGTTCATGTCTGCAGTGCTGCTGATTGGAAGTTTGGAGCGGAGCAGTTTGTTAAAATGCTCCCAGATAAAGTATATGTTCATTGTAAGGATAATTTACCTTTATCAAACTTTGGTTTTATGCTATAATGTAGAAGTAATCATGTATAGCTATTTTTAGATTGCTTGGTAGACTTATAGCTTTTTCCTCTTTTGATCATCCTGCTCTCTGTGCTTGTTTCGGGCGTTGTTGCTGCTTTGGTTACATATGAGGATAGAAAAAGATAGAACCGGAAAAGAATGATACGAAGTATTACTCAAAGATGGGGGGATTTTTTGAGTGATTGAACTATGGTGAAGTTGTCCTGCAGAAATTTTTACCTGATTTATCATTCTTTTTTCAGGCAGTGAAAAAAATGGGGCTACATTGACGCTAGATGGTGTAGACGTCATGGCTCAAAGATTGGCAGCAGAGGTTGGTTTGATATCAGCCTTACCTATATTAGCAAAGCTTATTATAAAAAGATATTGGCTGACTTTATGTCATTCTGTTTTCTATTTGATGTTTATGATTGAGCTTATCAATGCCAGGTGTTGGAGATCATTAAACAAAAGCCCAATCTAAGGAAAATTTCGATTGTTGCACATTCTGTTGGTGGTTTGGTTGCAAGATATGCAATTGGTATTCTGTATCAACCTCCGAAAGGTGTTAATGTGGAGGATTCATCCACTATAAATTCTAATGAGAATGCAAGAGGTACCATTGGTGGTCTTGAAGCAGTGAACTTTATTACTGTAGCTACTCCTCATCTTGGTTCACGTGGTAATAAGCAGGTAACAATTTCTGGGATGCTTGAATACCTTTTTTGGTTTCCAATTTCATAAAATGTTATTCTTAAATTGGAAATCATACCTTTGTACATTGGCTTTCCTTATCTATGTTATATGGCTTGTTATACGACTAATGGGGTGATGATGTCATAGTTCTTCTCATGGATCTTCTTAGTGTTCTTCGGTGCTGTTTTATGATATATCCAAGAATCTCTTTAGAAATATACGAGTATTATTTAAGTCTTGTCTCAAATTCAGAAAAGTTTTTGGCAGTTCATTCAACTTTTGTGTTTGCAATAAGGGTTTAAAATTGAACCTGTCTCTTCTTGCTAAGTGAACAATATAAGAGACTGTTTAGACTCTGTAGTCAAGAGGAACAATATTAGAGATGAAGTATGATGTCTATTAATTTGAAGATTTTAGTGAAACATCCTTAATAGGACTGTGTTTCTGGTGATCCATGCTCTCTGGGTTTAGATGGGATAGACCTAATGTCTGTGGAATAAACTTATGGCTTTGTTTTCGTACTTGATCCAATGCATTCTCCCACATCTTTTTTTGATTCAAATTTTGGCCTTTTTAAGGCATTTCTTGACGGATTTGAAGGTTGCAGCACAACTGACATTCATGTTTTACCCCCTCGTTTCCTTACCCTCTTGGTTCATGTATCTTGTCTTACTGTTATGGTTCCTTTTATTTTGTGTCTGACTCATGCATATGATGACAAAGTTTGCTAATTCCCTTATAGTTATTAGTATTGTCATCCTCGTATTTCTATGAATTTAAGCCTTTAAGGTAATGTAAGCTTGTTGGTTGATACAATTCTTATTTATTGCTGGGATTGCAGGTACCATTCCTCTTTGGTGTGACTGCTATTGAAAAAGTTGCTGGCCTTGTGATTCATTGGATATTTAGAAAAACAGGTAGACATCTTTTCTTGACTGATGGAGATGCTGAAGGGAAGCCTCCATTGCTTAAACGAATGGTGGAAGACAATAGTGAATATCGTTTCATGTATGTGTTGTAAATTTATTTATATAATCTGTGTGTATTATTTTGTCCTTACTTGCACTAGCGTGAATTGAAAACGGTGTGCTGGCCTTTGGTGCAGATCAGCTTTGCGGGCATTCAGACGTAGAGTGGCATATTCAAATGTTGGATATGATCGCATCCTTTCAGTGTGATAGGAATTTCATTTCATTCCTGTACCTTATAGTTACTGTTTTTGTTATTGTTATTTGTATACACTATTACTTTTGTCTCCTTTAACTATGACCTTTTAAGATATTGTGGGCTGGAGAACATCTTGTATCAGACGTATGAGTGAATTACCTAAGGTATTGTCTTCTGTTTTGCTTATACTATTATATGTTTACTATTTATATTTAATTTTTATAGCATGACTGACACATAAATCAATCTGGCCAGTGGGAAGATTCACTTAATGAGAAATACCCTCATATAGTCTATGAGGAGTTTTGCGAAGCACGTGAACCTAATCAAACTGCATCAGAGGAAGACCAATGCTGTGACAAAATAGAAGGTTCATGAAGCTCTGATTTGAAATGTACTTTGCTGTTTGATTTCAAGCTTGTCTTAGTCATCTAGTCTATTTGTTCCCTATGTGTTTGTGTCTCTACTTTCATCATTTGCTTCTTTTGATTTTTTTTTAAGTAAATTTATTTTGGGAAGGGGCCGGCGGGGGTGGGGGGGCATGTTTCCTTTTCTATCCGGAGTATGTGCAATGAAACCATGCATAGTGATTCGAAGAGAAATGAGACTGGGACTTATCTTCTTAGCAGCCTGAGATTCTTTCTGTGTTTGTCCAGACTCTGATATTGACTTAGGTTGAGAGGATAGTTACCCAGTCAAAAAATATGTGCCAGTATTGTGTGGAGGAAATCAAAGATTGTGGTACAAGGGGGATATGAACACATTTATACTAAGATGTAATCATGGTGTGGATATGAGGGTCATAGGGGTCTTTCTTAGAGTACAAATTAGTCATGAGTTTGATCTTCTGTTGGTATACGCATTCTTTGAACAAAATCCATAACCCATTAGCTACATGGATTAAAATGAAATATGAACTTGAATATCTGTGAACCTATAAACTTCATGCACTAAGCTATTGTTTGCCTTCTAATGCCTTTTGGAGTGTGAATTAATCACTTTCTTTATCTCTTTCACTTCATGCAAACATAATGAAAACAACCCCTCGAGCATGGAGAATTGTGCAAGTTATCTACTCTGCAATGACTTTTATCGTATTTCCTTACTAGTTCATCAAACATTTTTGAAGTGAACTCATTCTACTATTTTGGGCTATGTTACTTGGACTCGAATAATGTGTCAAATTAGACACGGGTGTCCAAGCATCAGACTCGCCCATTTTCTAGAAAAAAGTTGTGTTTTTAGTTAAAAATGAAGTGTCCCAAGTGTCGGTGTCGGTGTCCGACACGTGTCGTGTCGACACGGACACGTGAGGTAAATGAAAGAGTCCGAGTAACATAGATTTTGGGTCTGGTGTACTTAAGTAGGGGAACCATTTTATTTTACTTTATATATTTCCTGCTTCCTGCTGTCGTGAATTCTGCCTTTTCAGTCACCTGAATCTTTTGCTTTGGATTATTATTTGCAGAGGAACTTGTGACAGGTTTATCTCGTGTTCCATGGGAGAAGGTTGATGTCAGCTTCCACAGCAGTAGACTGAGGTTTGCTGCCCATAGCGTGATACAGGTCATTCATTCTCACTTTCCTTCTAGCCTACTGTGTACAGTTGTCTGTGTGTGTTTATATTTGTTTGTCCGTGTATTGTAGAAGAGTAGTTCAGTATTACATGTATGTTTAACCTGAAATTATAACAACACTTAGGCAGGATCTATGAGTTCAGTATTACAGTGTGTTTTTATCACATACTGTAGGAATTCTAATCCATTCGTCGATTACAATTTTGTATACCCAACAAAGCTAGTTGCTCTTCAATTTGATTAGTTCAAGAACGTATTCACTCTTTCATAATACTAGTCCCTAGTGGGAACGTCGACTCATCAGGAGACATCATTTGATCATGCATTATCCACAGAGGATTGCTATTACATTTCTGATTGGTCCACGCAGTATGCAAATGCAACCATATTTGTAAAACAAGGATCTAACATATTCTTTGTAAAGCAAGGCATTTCCCTTCCAGTATTATTTTAAACTTCAGAGCAGAAATCAAGAATCTACTTTTTTTTTTTTTAGTTGTTCACTTCGATTTTGTGTTCTTGATTTACAGGTAAAAGAACATTACATGCACGCAGAAGGTGCAGATGTTATCCAGCATATGATCGACCATTTTGTCATCTAAGTGGTTTTGGATGTTACGCCTACATCAAGTTGTATGTTTCTTCAAATTCCATTAATTCGTGCAGCTGATTTGCCTCTTGCATTAAACGATAGACATTCCAATGGATTTTCCTGTGGGAAATTTACTGCTTTGTCGAATCTTGGCTGGTGCAGATCCCTTTGGAGGTGGCCAATATATTTATATGTTGATAATTGGGACCTATTCTTGTTTATGCTTAAATTTTGTTGATTCATTATGGTTCAATTGTAAATGAATGTTACATATAATATACTAAGCATAAAGGGAAACTCAATTTGTATCTGCTGCAACAATTCAATGGATTAAAAAAGTTCAATCGAATTTTTTTTTTTTCCTTCATTGTACTTGAACTCAGCTATTGGGTGTTGTCTAAGGCGAATTTCTAGTTGGTAGTATGCTCGTTTAAAATTCACCCGAGCACCGTTACATCTTTACACTTAGGGGAATAGCATTAATTTCATTACTGTAATATTCATAATAATTTTATGTATTTTTGTATCTAACAATTATAATTATTCCTTCTTTTCGTTAGCTACATCAATTACAGATGTCAAAATTTTCTAAGTATTGGATACCTTAGCTATTTCTAAAAGTAATTTGTATAGAATACTTCATACATCGTCTGTTTCTAAATATTTTACAATAATTATTAAATTAGAAAGTTGTACAGATATTAAAACATTTTCTTATTGAAACATGATTTTTCTCTTTTCTTTTTTTCTATCACATGAGTCTCTATCTTAATTTATTTTTATCTCTATTTTCTTTTTAAACTCCACGTTTAATCCATATGTTACAATATTTGGAAAACGGAAAATTTTATGTTTTTTTTAATAATCTATTAACTATTACTAAAACAAAACTTTGTTGATGTTATTACTGTCCATATGTCACTCTTATAATAAAAATTTTCCCGCCTAAATGCATGATGATGATGTCTTCTTCTTTTTTTTTTTTTGAGCTATTATATTTAATAGATTTTGAAATTTGAATAATAGAAGTTTCTATATTACAAATACAACTTATCAATTTATCCTTAAAAAAATGTAATTATTTTAAGTTGTACACTAATAAATAGACTCCTATATTAAAATATGTAATAGGCAAAATTGAATAGGTATTATATCATAATTTTGATAAAAATTTAAAATTTTCAAAATACAAATATTTTGTACAAGGTGTATATTCTTATTTTTTATATTTAACCATTTTTTTTTAAAAAAAATATATAAATTATAAAAATAAATTTTATATAAAACGTGCATCGCACATTCGCACGGGTTCTAACCTAGTAATAATCTATAAACGGTTTGGATGTGAATGTGAATTGTAAGACGAAATACTTTTCAATGAGTGTGAAATAACCAAAGACTAATTAAAATAAAAAATCAAAAGTTGGAATTATTAACAACAATATAAAAAAATGCGTGATAAAAACAAAGCATAGGAAAGTTGGATACTTCATCTTTTATGGGCAGTACACAATAATGTAGGTTTACAATGAACATGCTTATGACAAAAATGGATACGTGTTACCTTGAAAGAATTACCACACACACTTACATGCAATTCCTGCATGATAAGCTACCCAACACGTGCCTCTCCTCTCTTCTCCACGTGCCCCCTCCATCTCCTTTATAAACCATTTCATTCTTTCCTCAACTCATCATACTACTACATCCTATCTTACCTTTCAAGTTTTCTACTTTAAACAAATTGTTTACTACATACTCTTGTTATATTTTCTTCCAAAGATAGAATGGCTGATTACATGCAACACGGTGGTCAACACATGACCTCGCGTCAGTACCCGGGGCAGCAGCAGCAGCAGCCACGCGCTCACCAGGTGATCAAGGCGGCCACCGCGATAACAGCCGGTGGATCGCTGTTAGTCCTTTCGGCGTTAACGCTAGCCGGGACCGTGATTGCGTTGACTGTAGCCACGCCGTTGCTGGTTATATTCAGCCCGGTGTTGGTGCCAGCAGCTATCACAGTTGTGCTGTTGATCTGTGGGTTTTTGTCCTCGGGTGGGTTTGGGGTGGCGGCGTTGTCGGTGTTGGCTTGGATTTACAGGTACATGACGGGGCACCACCCGCCCGGAGCTGATCAGTTGGAGCAAGCGAGGATGAAGCTGTCTGGAAAGACGAGGGAAGCTAGAGAAAAGGGTGAGCATTTTATTCAGCAGGCTACTGGTGGAACTCATGCTACCCAGCAAAGTTCTTGATTTCGAAGTAAATAATTAAGGTTCGTTGTTGGATGTATGCTGCTACCTACCTAGCTAGCTAAGTTGGAGATAATGGCCTCGAATAATAACTTTGACGGCGGATCGAAGAAAATGGCGTGGTGATGATCGAGGGGGTTATGGTTAGGTTTTGGGGGGAATTGAAGTATTTATTTTGAGGGTTTATAGATTGTGGTTTAATTTGTTTGTAATTGTGTTTTTTTTTTTTTTTTTTTTTTCTTTTTTGGTATGTTGAATTTCGTTCCCCTCTTAGTTATGGTTAATTTTTGTGGTTTTATCATCTGCATTTTAAATTGTTAATTAGCTTTTTTGAATAAACAATGTTAGGATCTTTTTCGTCAAAAAAGAAAAAATTGTTGAACTTCTTAGATTGGCACAAAATGCTACTCTTTCGATTCATGCTCATATCTTATGCATGATGTATTGATATTGTCGGATTTTAATTTTAAACTATTCCTTTAATAACATGATTCTACTCCGTGGTATAACAAATTTTAAGATATATACTCAACAATTTAATTCGATATCAACAAATTGGAGAAAGGATAACATACAATCATCATACTCCTTTTCGCTCGATTATTTTTTTTGGTAGGTCTATTATGTTATCAAACACCTAAATTTTGTTAAAAATGTGAATTATAGCCTTTAATTTTAGGAATTTTTTAACTTTTTAAAACTCAAAATGATGCTTTCCACGGATCCTACAAGAACATAGGATACTACTTTATAAACCGGATTCTATCAGGCAAGAGTAGTACTAAGATGGTGGGGACTCGGTGACCTCTTGGAAAGTAGTCCTGGCGTTAACGTTGTACCCCAAAGAAAATTTATTGGTGTGGGACACAACTTTTATCATTGACTCATAAGTCATCTTAATTGAACTCCTAACCTCAAAGTTGAAAGGTGACAATCTTATCAATAGATCAAGTTTAGCTTAGCTTGGTTATCTCACGACTTTATGTGACCTACTGTTTGGCACATAGTAGGGATGAGTATATATATCAAGGTACCTTGTAGTTAAAATTCGTGGAACCGGAACCAAAATTTATTACAACAGATTCCTTAAAATGAGAATTGGAACCAAAACTTGTTGAACAGGTTCGTAGAGATTGAGAACTAGTTACGGAACCAAAAGGGTTCGGTTTCGATTTTGGGTACCCCGTCTTTTAATATATTTATTAGTAGCGATTCCTTGTCTTTTAATATATTTATTAATAGCTTTTTGCAAAAGTATTTTAAATAAATTTGAATGGTCACTAATTTATAACGTTTACAACTCGTAAACATAATAATAAATTAAGCCAAAAGTAGTTTACTTTTTTAGCAAATTCAATTAAATTTATACATATATTTATAGTTGTTATATTTATATTTATTAATTAATATTGGGCTTGAATTGGTGTTTAAATTTTACATAAGTGAATATTTTATCAAGTTAGGGAACTTCACAATTTTCGGTTCAAAAAATTAAGAGTATGAGCTTAAATGGAAACTTATTGCAATAGGTCTTCAATTTTACAACCTATAACCAGAACCGAAATTAAACCTGCGGTTCCTAACAAGATCTAGTTCCAATTTAAGGTACCTTGATTTTTTTATATGATTTTGCAGCCCCATACACAAGGTCTCAAATATTAAAAAATGATATGATACTACTCCCTCTGCTTTTTTAAGTGTCTTATTGGGAGTTTTGGCACTATATATAATTCACTAGGCCTACTTTGATCATTGTTTGTGAATTATAGTTTTGTGAGCACTCGTTGGAATCGTTCAATGAGTAGATTTTTTTATCATCCAATTGTTATGATATATAGTATTGATAATTTAAGATATTATAGGTCAAAGTTTTACATTGACATATATACCATGTTGCTATGGATACATAAAATATATAGGGGAAATTATCAATGGTACACCCAAGGTTCGGGCTTTTATCAATGGTACACTTACTTAACTTTTGTTTATCAGCGGTACACCCTAGATTTCACACACTCATCTACAGTAACCCTAATGTTAATCAAACGTTAATTTTGGTTTTTTCGATTTTCTTAACTTGAAAAACTCCCTTCTTTTTTTCCCTCTTCACTTTCCCTCTTTTATTTTAACTAACCCACCCACCCCCTCTAATTGTATATATATTGTTTCCCTCCCTCATTTTTTTCCCTCTTCACTTTTTTCCTTCTTCACTTGAATTTCCCTCGTTACTTTCTTAATTGAACCATGAAATGCCTAGCTAGTGTTGGTGATTGGGACCATCATTTACAAATCTTGACCATCATTTCAATAGATTTTACAAGTACCCATGTCGTAGGATTAACTTGTTTTCCAGACTTTATAACCCTTTTGGTACGTCTAATAATAAATATATGATTTTAAACCAACTTTTATTATCAAAAAAGACATCTTTATAAAAAATAATATTTGATTTGAAATCGTGGATTATAGCCTTTACTTTTAAATATTTTTAGACTCATGTTTGAGACTTTATAAATCTTTTGTGCAGAATACTTTAATTGGGTTCCAAAGAAACTAATTTTATGATTCCAAGATACTCCACACTTCCAATTTAATTTTGTTTTTTTGTTTTTGTTTTTTTTTTTCCAAAATTAGTCCAAAAACGTGAATTATACTTAAAGAATATTTGCCTTTTTCAAACCCAGAAAAGATAGAAGATGAGGTGCTTCTCATGGATCCCAAGAGACCATGGGAAGCCACCTAAGTGATTGGAACCATCTATTTTACTTTTTAACTATCTATTCAATTTGTTTTGTACACAATTATCTGAAGAATAATTCAAAAATTAAGCATTCGTAAGACGTAAGTTGTAACCCATGAAAACATTTACATGCATACTTAATTAATGGAAATTCCAAAAGATTATTACAAACTAGTGACTGAATTACAAATCACATATGAATATATATGATACATTATTATAAAATCATGTAAGATGTAAACATGAAGAAGTGAGTCATCAAGAGGGCCACGACCTACGTTACATGCATGACATGCATGAATACATGCCTATCTTCTCACGTGAAAACTGCATCTTTGTTTCCCTTCTTCCATATCCAGTTTTACTAAATCTGTTACACCTACCTTTTTAAACGCTAAAAAACAACCAGCATAACAACCATCCTGTAATTCAAAAATTAAATTAATGTTAAAAGAAAATGTTAATAGTAACTAGCAAGGAGAAATTTTAGTATAAATAAGCTAGGATATTACAAACACAAATTGTAAAAACATAGATCTATAAAAAATCTCCTGAAATAATTTGTTGTTTACCTTACAATAAACCCGATCATTCAATCTTTAGATCTACCTTCAACCAGCCAACAAATCCGACACCCAATCGAATCTCGGCCCGTCCGAATTCACGTTTTCTCTATCAACGTTGTGGTTTTGGACCACTTGATTGTTGTTGTAGACCTTGTAGTAGTCATTAATACTAAGCATCCTTAGAGTCTCCAAAAACTCTAATTTTAATTCTTGAGGCCTTCCCGTTGGTGGGGCCCTACTATTAATATTACTACTAGGAAGTTGAAGTTCCCATAAGGCCGAGGTGGGCGTGGGAGTAGTATTGGACATCCTAGGGCGTCCAATCACGCCCACCTCACGTCCGCCACTAGTGCTGCTATTGTGAGTAGCAGCATTAGTGGCGGACAATGATGGCTCAGCAGGCGGGGCCTGTAAATCAAGTTTTTGAGTACGGAGGGCTAGTCGGACCCACTTAGGGACGTGGGCCATTGGCTCAGCTCGAAGTTGCTTCAATGAGTGGGCGAAAAAGCAGATTGGACGGGTGCAACGGTTACCAGCATTACAAAACCGGGTTCGGTACTTGGTTGGGTGGAGCCAGTACTCGAACACGCCGTGAGCGTATTCGCAAAGCTCGCCCCTTGGGCAGTTTCCGTTTGAGGCCCGATAATCCGGGCAGGAAACTGCCACGTAGAGCACCTTCTTTAGGTCACGCCTTCTAGCCCGTTCGCCTTGGTGGGCGTACGGGCAGACAGTCCAGTCATGTGCCCTCATCAAAGGGCATCTCTTGACCTTGAAGCTGTACATTCTGAACTCATCCGACTCGAAATTATCGGGTTCAAAGTCTGTATCAGCAAACGGGTTTGGGTATCGGGTTCGGTTATTGTAGGCGTTGGAGTATTCTCTTAACATGTTCTCCACGTCTACTCTATACATGTTTCTTTCTTTAGCTCAAACAAATGCAAAATTCTTTTTTTTTTTTTTTTGAAACTTTAAGAAGATGATAGAAAAAATGTAGTATAGAATAAATGATGTTACTATGTTAGAGATGATTGAGAAATCGATCCATGACGATGAAGATGAACATACAAGGAATGGAATGAATGATGAAAATGAAATAATGTATACTTAGAATATACAAAAATGTGAACTAACAAGTTTATATGAAATGTGTTGTGAAGTGATTGAGAAAGTAGAGCGAAGGAGTACGTTTATATAGACAAGTAAACATTTTGTTTAATAGAATGTATTAATTGGTGTGGTTATAAATTTTTAAGGTTTATTGATATATTATTAAATAAACATTTCATTAGATATTGTAAGGTAGAGTCTAATTAGTTATTTATTAGTTAATTATATCTTGATTAATGAACACCGGGAAACAAAAATTAACCAATGAATAAGGTTTATACAATTCAGCGTAATTTGGAATCAGTTCATGTTATACAGTTCAACGTAATTTGGAATCAGTTCATGTTTCGATAAATGCAACATATATGTCTCATATCGTCAATCCAAGTTGAAATTTCCAGAACGAACTAAACGATGACTAAACACAATCTATTACGTCTGTAGTATATATGTTTGTTGACTATTACCTAAACTTTTCCGGATATGAATCGGATATTATTCCAAAAGGAAATAACGGATGTTGAATCTTTTTGTCGTTGATTAAAACTAAAATTAACTACACTAACACGAAAATCTTGCAATTATTATTGCACGTATGGAACATTTAGGAACGAAAGCAATGCAAGTTTAGGGTGTGTTCTATTCGCCTAATTATATCTTATGTGTTGAAGGAAATTCAATGTGATTCACAAAAGGAAATTTAACCCGTCTCCAAAAAAACATTAAGAGTAAACTTTTGCCATTCTTCATAATGCTTTATTGTCTTAGCAATCTTTGTCATTGAAATTTAGTTGTTCTCATAATTATATCTTATATGTGAAATAATGCAAGTTAAGGGTGTGTTCTATTAACCGTATTTTCACTTATCTTATCTTATCTGCACTAATTTAAACTTATTAAACTTATTGTAGTTGTAATTTGTACTTGATTAACCCTTAAACTTATTGCACTTGAAATAAGTTAAAATAGGGTGAATGAAACTAACTCTAAAGGTGTGTTCTATACACTTGACCTTCACTTAATTATCTGAACTTAACTGAACATATCTAATCGAATTTATTAAAACTTATTTTAATTAGTTGTAATTTCAATAACTTGGTAACCTTTATCAGAACTTATTTAAATTGGACTTATTAGACTTGAAATAAGTGAAAATAAGGACATTTCCTAGCTTCATGTTAGGATTTTTTTTTATTTATTTTATTTTATTTGTGTGTATATTACGGATTACTCAAATTTTTGCCATATTTATATAAGAAATTCTATTATCAAAATCCTAAGGTGTTAATTATTTATTTATTGCCAATAAAAATAAATAAAGAAAATACCTAAAGGTGTTCAACTTCTTAAAATACACATGAAAATGGCTCAAATTTAATGGCCTGGTTAGCCACATAACCACATTCTAGTATTCTACTAGTACAAAGCCTAAATTAAGTTGAGTTTCTTTTATGAATCTTAATGTAAAACTAACTTGCATTAAAAGTTCAAATGTTACTCTTTTGTTTTTGTTTTTATTTTTAAATTTTTTGATATATAACTTATAAGTAAAGGAATATATAAAGCATAGAGTAGCAAAAAGCCATAGAAAACTAAATAATTAATTAACAGTATCGTGTGTGATGTGAATAGTTAAGCTGATCCATACTTTTCATTTAAAAGATTGAATGTTACAATTAAACTTTAACTTAGGATACCAGTGAAATTTCCAGGTTTTCGAATTGGTTGTTATTTTTGTATTAAAATAAAATTAAAATCTACCAACTTTAATTTGAGGAAGACAAGTTTTTTAAGCTACTATAAAATAAAATTTCCAAGTTTTTTTGTATTGCATGAACACGTATTTGAGAAGCCATAAAAAAATACAACAAAAACGTGAGTAACACGTGTTAAGGGTTGTTAATCAAGCTTCCAAAATTGCTGACTCGTTATTACCGGCCATGCATGCAATTTACGGAGTACCGGAGAGGAAGCGTAGTCAACTTATCCGAGCTCCCGTAAATAGTGCATGCGTTTTTCTCAAACCCTGGACGGGCCGGTTTTCTTTTAGCGAGCCTTTGTGTCATATTAGTTGCACCATTCTTTTCATAAAACAATCTCAAATCAGTTGTAACATTTCTATGGAGTATAAAAAAGCAAAAGATTGACTTTTTTTTTTTTTTTTTTTTTTACTTTTGCTTATTTTGAACCACTTTACTTAATCTTTGTGTTTGAAAACGGTAAATTTGAAGGATTTTTACTCATATTCCTTAAATGACTATGGTACACTTAACTCTTAACAACACGCAACATCGCAACAAAATTAAAAAATTATGTGTTAGTGAAACTAATGTGACAAATCGAATAGGAGTACTTTATAATGAGGCATTTTTTTGATGACATTAGTTGATGTAGACATAAACTGCCTGCTTAATAAAAAGCAACACTCTACATTTAGAAGATAAGAAGATGATAGTCATGTACAATATTTCAAAATTTACTTTCTCCATTTTCCAAAAATTGAGACGACAACTTTGCTTTATACAGACTTTGGGGAAAAATATTATTTCAAATTACACTTAGACCTGTTCTGAATGACTGAACTAAATTCAACTTTGAACTCAACTTATTGGAGTTGAGCTGAATTGAACTAAATTGAATATTTTACGATAAAAGGAAATTAAGAACTGAACTGAACAGAACTTATTAGTAGTGCTGTCAAATTTCAAACCGAAACCGTTTAACTGTCCGAAACCAACCGACCCAAATGAGAACCGAACCGATTAAAAACCGATTTTGTAAAACAGAAAACCGACCCGAACCGTATTTAAGTAAAACCGAAACCGAACCGATCCGAATAATGTCAAACCGTATAAGAACCGAACCCATTAACAAACCGAACCAGTTTTAAACCGAACTGAAATCAAACCGAACCGAAAAAGAACCGAACCGTTTCTAACCCAAAACATTTCCAACCCGAAACCGTTTGAATCGAGATAAAAACCGTTTACACCGAACCGTTAACAAACTACAACCCGTTTGCACCGAACCGTTAATAAACCGAACTGTCTATAAATCAAACTGTAATTTCGATCTCACAATAACTCATCAAATCATGATTATGACACATCAATTAGATGATTGAATAAGAAGCAGCTAACAATGTGATAGTAAAACAATAATAATTCATTAATACACTAAGGGGGCGTTTGGTTTGAAAAGTGGAAACGGAGTGGAAAGGAAACAAATAAGAGGGGGAAAATGAATCATTTAGCTATTACCTTTTCATTTGTTTGGTTTAACCAGAGAAAGGGTATTTGTTAAGAGGAAGGTAAAGGTATTTGTTACCACAAGTTTTTGGGAGGTAACAAATAAGGGGTAATCATTACCCTTAGGTAATGGTAATTGTTACCATGTCTTCAAACCAAACACATGGTAACGATATTGGTTTAATCGAATCCGTTTCCAATTCAAAAAATACACCAACCAAACGCCCCCTAAACTTTTATAATCTACGTTACTTCGTAATAAACTAGTAACATCAGTATGACTAAACTTGAAAATAACATGATATGTATTTTTAAAATTGATGAGAATTTGTATATAATATAATGCCCAATGCCTAAATATGAAGTGATGAAGTCTCGGCTTGATATAAAACTTGCTAACGAGCAAAAGGTTAGTTAGCAAGTACTATGAAATTTCAAACCAAAATTGTTTACCTGCCCGAATCCAAACGACCCGATTAAAAACCGACTTTTTGAAATAAAAAACCGTTCTGAACCATAATTTAGTAAACGTGAAATGGAACTGATCCGAATAACGTTAAATAGTATAAAAGGCGAACCCGTCAACAAACCGAACCAAAATAAAACTAAACCGAAAAAGAACCGAACCGTTTCTAACTCGAAACCGTTTCCAACTCGAAATTGTTTGAACCGGTATAAAAACGGTTTACACCGAACCATTAACAAAAAGCAACCCGGCTGTACCGATCCGTTTACTTCCCGAACCGTTTACAACCCGAACCGAATTAAAATCGCTCAAGAATAAACCGAAACCAAATCGAACCGATAACTATTTAAACCGAACTGAAACCGACCCGCGATACATTTAAACTGATTTCAAACCGACCCGATTTAATACCGAACCGAACCCGAACTGTTAAACCGTTTTGACAGTGCTACTTATTAGGGCTGAACTGAACTGAATAGAACTGAAAATAATCTGAAGAGTTTAGGCCTTTAAACTCATCCTTGTTAATCCATTATACCAAACAACTTCTTAGTAGGATGAATGATCGTTAAATCCCATTTTGTGACGATATATAATTTTATAAATTTCAAACGATAAAAATAGAGTATACAAATCAAACATCAAGATTATACTTCAATCGAAATTCGACTTTCGTATTTGGGTACATACAAACTTGATCATCAATACCTCTATAATTTTTTCAAAAAACGGGAGCATAATACCTCTAGAGAGATACAGGAATAATGTATGAAGCACTGTTGCAGTGATATGTACTGCACTACTGCCAGTACCAAAAATACTGAGTATAAATGCTAGTACAAATGTACCACTATTTTAAAAGGCCATCACTACACAAGTAACCAACTTGGGAGGATTTTTTTCAAGGAGATGCCAAAATGCCCACTAGTATATAGACGACAAATCTATTCTCTTCAGCTTAATTTCAATTCAGTTCCTAATTTCATTCTCTCATAAACAATTCAATTTAGCCCAGCTCAATAAATCAGAACATGTCCTACAAACTTCGTATCTGTAATAGTCAATAATTTGTAGCAATGGTAAAGAATGAAGTAATTCAGAGTATGTTGGCTTTACCCCTCCTAGCTTAACACATCCATGTAGTCATAAATTGTTGCAATATATTTCATATAACAAAGAGAAATTTGAAACAATAATTACATGGCTGATAGAAAAACAAATTTACAAGTTAATCGTTATCAAAACAGCGTCATGAATTATATTGTCAGCCGGCCAAAAGAGCAAGAGCATTAGAGCACTTTCTTTCTGCTCTGTTGTGATTCTCAACCTTTTCAGTTACCACGGAAAGCCAAAATTGATGCACATAATGGTGATATCTTTGGCAGTTTATAAGATCCATGAAAAAGTTGGCAACAAAATTCAAAAAGAGTACACTGGCTCAAAAATGCCACTTCAAATTGCCCAAGCAAGAACCCAAGATACCAAATTTTGATCTAGAAACTTTAGAAGGGCGATCTCGGTGGAGCTTTTAACACAGGAGTTGTCTCCTGCTTTTGGCATTGCTCAAGGATTATGCTACAGTTATTCATGGTGCGCGCATCAAGAAGTCCAAGGTTCCACAATTTGATCATAAATAATCTCCAACACCTGTATATTAAATAAGAAAAACAAATTCTCAATACAAAGTAATAAACCTATGTATTCTACATAAACTCTCAAGGGCAGAAATATTGAAGATCAAAATATCCCCAACCCTGAAAGTAGACAAACAAAAGAGAGCAAGTTTTTGTTAACAGTAGAAGAGCACATCTTGCAACCCTAATGGCTATATCTATTCATAGTCAACCTAGTGGGGTAGTTTCTAGTAGTTTGATAGCAGTGCATGTAAGGCTTTTTCATGTCACTTAAACATTGCATTTAAAAGCCTTAACCCAATTTAAGCTTTCTTCAGCGCTCAAATCAACGGGCGCATAGTTTCAATATCAGGCTTTATAATGAATACAAACCCACACTCTTGTAATTATAATGCATTCCTCTCATTCTCATACTAGTGCCCAGACCTCAAGGAAGTGAATAGACACCACTCATAAACGTAAGCAGCTTAGCCAAATTGTATGATGAGTTGAAATGGGGAGGCATTACAAATTAAAAGTAGCTTAACCCAACACACAGCTCAAAAACTAATGTTCTACAGTAATATTCAGATGCAAACAATGTGATTCTACTCATTTATGGCAAACATACTTCAACACCCATACATGTTTTAGTTGTTAAATTACTAAATCATCATCCTAGGCAAAAGAAATAATAGCGATATTTTCCAATTTTTTTAAGAAAAACTACTGATTGTCTAGCATAAACAACTCGTCCCTTGAAAAGAAAAAAGGTTTAACTTGTAAATGGTCAACAAAGATTATAAAATACCAAGTCCCGATTCAAAATAGTAAATAAAAATAAAATACATATTAAAAAAAGAAAAAAGTAACACATAAAAAACAGGATGGAAAAAAAAAACACACAATGAAAATCTTGTAATATGTTCCAGACTATAAAAAAACACCTGCAAGAGCAAAAACAAGAAAAGCTTACCATATTAGAGCAGGAGCTTGCACAAGATTATTCCCATGCGCACGAGAAAACGCCTCACAAGCCCAAGGGATATGACCGTCGGCAAGTACCCTGTTATAATTCAGAAACAGAACACTTCAGTAATGAGACACCCCATCTGATTATCAGAAACAAAGCTTGCAAAGATGGCCTTAAATGGTGTTTTTATCCATCCCCTCTAAGGCTCATACCCTCAACCAAAAAAAAAAACAAAACAAAAAAAAAACATCTTGGACATGAAATATATGGGCCAAATTATACAAGTCTACAAATATCAGGGTAACATACCTTCCAAAATTAAACAGCAATTACAAGAAAGCTACCCTTATATAGGGCACAAAGGAACTCTTAAGTTAGTTCCAACAGAAAATGCCTTTTTTAAGCTCATCACCAACTAAGAACAAAACTTTATAGCAATATGACATATTGACCAGATTATACTACCCGAAAAGGTTTTTAGAATGAAACAAAGAAACTTGAAGCGTATATGATAGCACATCTTCACAGTACATATATCATTTATGAAAGGCAAGTAACTTAAAAATTGGCTCAATACATGAAGTAAATGAATCAAGGACTATCAAAAGGCACATTTTAATTTTTCCTTTCTCTTACCATTATTAGAAAGGAAGTAGGACAAATGAGTGAAGGATTATCAGCAATATTGATGGCTCAAACTGAGTGAGTGAGTGCATGTGCAAGTCTGTGTGTGTAAGAGAGATAGCAGATCAGCAATATTGATGGCTCAAACTGAGTGAGTGAGTGCATGTGCAAGTCTGTGTGTGTAAGAGAGATAGCAGAGCCATGAATAATTTATGCAAGGAAACAACCTAGTTATTCAAATCCATAAAAGGACAGTATTCTGCCTCAAGAAATGGCATAGCATATTCTAACATCGTTCTCACATGAACTCTAAACACTATCCTAAGTTCTGAATATTCTGATGAAGCTGAAAATTCAGAACTTGATTGATTGGGTCACTGTTTGTTCAAACAAAAAAAACTTAATTGGGTCAGACAAATAAATAGATGATGAGCCACAAGAGAAGGCACACTGACCAGCATTTAATGGTACATCATAATTTCAACATACTTGAGTTGTGGCTACCAAGAGATGCTCAAGCTTAACATATACTTGAGAGAGTGAATGTGCAGCAGCAACAGAAATATGTCTTGTTATAAGCATACAGAGAATTTGGCATAAACATACCTTTGTTTCCTGGCAAAAGAGTTCCAAAGATGCATGATTTGTTTCTCATCTTTGCTGACATCCACAAAATCATCCAGCATCTGCAATTATTATTTCAAACCCCAACATCAATAATAAGGCATAGAATTACAATCCTTCACATGGCAACTTTGTGTGTGCACTCACACACTCACAAATCAATCAAAAGAAAAGGTAAAATACAAAATCATCACCATACTGTATTTTCCACAACTCCCTTTCCCCCCTCCCAAAAAATTAAAATAATGCACTTTGTAAAACTACAATGGCCACTGGCAACTTATAAAATTCAGTATCCCAGCAAAGGCAACGTAATATACTACCTCAGTTTCATATTTTATGCAACTTTTGCCTATTTTATGCTACACATTATTTGCAACTAATGTTTTCTTTCCTTTTTAGATTGCTGTTTATCTCTCTCTCTCTCCTCATTACATGCATTCCTGTTTTTCTCTCTCAATCTTACACTCACAAACAAATTTTGCCTAGGAGTCCGTGCACCCTTCAAAGTTGCAAAAAATATGAAACAGAGGTAGTAATAGTGTTAACTGATTACAACATAGATTGCCACTTCTATCAAACATGGCTATGTTATGAAATTTTGCATGTATTTGGTGACTTGGGTCCAAGTGTATATAAGCGTCATACTCGTGTGTTGAGTGTTGATCATCCGACAGGGGTACTTGACAGGAAACTTTAGGTTGGAGTGCCATAGCTTGTTAGTATCCTTAAAATCTCATCAAACCCAACAAATATACAACAACTCGTTTGGATAGGTGGGTTTGTAGGGAAAGGGAGGAACAAGTAAGGAAGGGATACAATTTTCTTTGATTATCAAATTAGGGGGTTGAGAGAAATGAAGGGAAGGGAAATGGAAGGGCTTTATTACCTCATTGTTTAAGAAATACATCTCTACAAAATGGGAAAGATAAGGAATATAGAAACATAGTGTATAACAATATTGAAAATGCTTTTCTACCCTTAATTTCCATTGTTTCTCTACTGCTATTTCTCACTTTTTCATTCCTCCCTATTTTGTTCTTCATTCTATGTTCATCCACAAATGCATTATTTCTTACTCACTCCTTGTATCTACAATTAATCATGTCAAACTATTTCCCCCAATTCAAAAATAAGATTCTAACAATCTAACTGCATCTAGGATCAAGCAATCATGCTTCTGACATAAACACATCGAAGGTTAATAGATATTCAATGTATTAATACCGATACGTTTGAGGGAAATGGCCAAAGGGGATTTTGATCAGTACCCCAACATCTAAAACCATTGCCAACAGCAAGGAATTGGAGAGGTAAGAGAAGAATCAAAGGAAATGATAAATTTGGAGTGTTAAATCTGACTAGTTGGTTTTTTTGGAACTGCATATCAATGGATACTTTCTCCATTGATGGTGTACTTGAATTAGTAGGGGCAGACTGGAAAGATAATCTAAAGCAATGTTCCGTTTCCGTCACCTTCCCTCATGCTCTTGTTAGTTAATTAAAGGAATTTGTTATCTTCTTCCTTACCCTCACTTTCCTTGCTAAAAAGATATCCAAATAAACTGTAAAAGAGAAATTCAATCTCCCAGCAAAAGTGAGAACGAGGGGGTGGACTGTGGAACTCAGGGGAGGATGACTAATACACCGCAACCATGAAGAAAAAAGAGCTCAAGTTCTTCAGCATGCCTAGAAAGAGACAAGCAACAGTTCATGCGAGGTAAAAAGTAAGGTGAGGAAAGAGAAAATGGAGAGAAACTGAGAAAGAACTGAAAAAAATAATAAAAAATTGGGGCTAGGAAAGGAATAGCTCAGGTGTAGGTTAGGGACAATAAATATTAGTTAATTTGTGACAACTACCATACTACCAATACAATGTCTCTTTGCTACACAGAACGCTGCGCTACAATCTTCAGAGAATTTGGCCTACATCAAACTAGATTGCAGAATTAAATTAAATTCCAATTAGGCTGGAAAAGGCTGAAAGACCAAATAACACAACACAAAATAAGAGCGTTTAATATAAGGCTTCCAGCACATGTAACTTGAGGGTTAGGTTCAAGAAAAAGCTTTGTAACTTGACAATGACCTATGAAACCGTTTATTCAATAGCTACACTGTTGCAAGTTTCCGTTTGTTTAAGAAATTTGAAACCGTTCATAATTTACCGTATGCGCAACAATTAAAGTAAAGGGGAGAGAGAGTGTAAAAAGGTGGGTGAGTGTAAGAAAAAAGTGGACAAAGTAAGCAGAGTGTGAAAGGTGTAAGTACTAGGGGTAAGGTAGAAAAAAAGAATTGCCAAAAATAAAATAAAGTAAATTTGAGAAGGACATTACAAAACGGACAAACAACGGAAAATGTTAAAAACATTATGTGACGAAGGTAGTAGAATAAAGGCGCAATGCACTAGCCCATATTAGAATCCCAGAACCTAGAACTTATTCACCTTAAACTCTTAGCCATCATCTGTCATTGGCGTCATATATATATATATATATATATATATATAATATATATATATATATATATATATATATATATATATATATATATATATATATATATATATATATATACTATTATGCTAAAACCCAACACCGCATTGAACGCTCTCTCTCTCTCTCTCTAAAATCAAATTATACACACCAAAATGACCACCTCTATATCTTTATCTATGAAGCTTGAAGATATATTCTTCCACTCATAGTACACAATATGATCCACCTATTTCTCCCAATACCTGCAGAGGAAGGGCATAATGGGTAGTCTTTATTCTGTCAGTAGTCATTAGTTTTAGTATAAACCAGGGAGAGTAGGCATTGAGAAAAAGCATTCAGAATATTTGAGTTGTTATTTTGCTAGCTTTAGGAGAGGGTCAAGCCTTACAAATACTTGACAATTATCTTCAGTTTTCTGAAAACTTAATAATCAGAATCACTATTTTCATCTATTTGGAATCACTCGTATTATGCTACAGTCACACAAAAACAAATATTCACCAGAAATAGAATACAAATAAGGCATACCCTTCGATCTTCTAGATCAGCTACATCATCATCAACTTCATCTTCACTATCATGCTCTGAAAATATCTGCTCCAATGCCATTGGCTACAGTCACAAAAAGAAGTCATCTTATCAGCTATTGCCGCTGCTAATAACTTTGTATATTTGATTACAAGACTTTTCAAAAGTTGACAGCAGTAGATCAAGAAAATGTGATGTGGAAAGTCTGGAAACTGCAGACAAACAACAGTAATAAACCAAATTTATTGGGATTCGGTGCCATTTCAAGTTTGAAAATAGGTCGTTAGAGATTACAAAGTCATATCTTTGCATTTTGGTGTGGTTTGCTTTAACATTATAACCCAAAAATTCTACAATTAGAACTATAAATGTCATTTATGAGCCTGGGAATCAAATACATATAAAATACATTTGAATCTTTAGGCATGGAATGTGTTTGGCAAGCACTTGAACCATCAAGTCTTTCTATATAGACTTCAACTAACTACTTAACCTTGGATGGTAAATAATGATTAGATCTCAGGCAATTATTTGCAGTATGTGCTGCTAAGGTTTGGATCAATAAATGGTCAGGAGCAGCTTACACATCATAAATCAGCATTTACAGATGATTACTAATTGCCAAAAACCAAAGTATGCGGTATGTGAGATTGTGAGGACCTCTTATAAACTAATCATTATAAGATACCCAAGTACAAATGACCAAATTTGATAAATTACAGAAGCTTTCAGCTTAGCCTATACGTTAAACAGTAAACACATAGAGACAGAAGAGGAATACTGAAATGTTATATTTGTTACTCAAAAGTCAGAACCCTTCAAAAACAAAGAAGTGGAGCAGTAAAGGTTAATACTAAACTACTACAGACAAGATCATTTAGAATGTGGTATATCAAGATAAGTGGTAATTACAGCAGCTGTAGATCAAGATGCAACAGAAAATGCTACATACAATTTTCAGCAATAAGCTGAAGTTTTCTAGATTAGTCATCGTTGGGATAGTTTATATTTTATAAACTTTGAGCTATGTATACAAGTCTCTTTAATTTTTTTACACACAAATTTGTTAACCAATCTCTGCTATGGGTGATCAACAGCCTGTTGAAAAGTTTTAAATTTGACACGCATCTTTGTCAGTCAATCTTTGGCTAGGATAAAAAAACAGCCTGTTGATATTTTAAAATGTTGCATCTCAATGAAACCGATCCTACACATGTAAATTGTTAAATCATTGGTGGCAATAGAATCGATATAATAATGGATGTCAAATCATGTCCATGTCTTGTAATTAACCCATATCTTCTCAGACTTATTCATTGATTGACCTTCAGTGCAAAATGTCAATAAATATGTAGCAGTAAACAAGTGTTGATGACACAAGGCTAGTCACTAGGCAATAGGAAGAAAAACAATGATGGTGCAATAAAAATAAATTAAATTAGGCAACATTTAAAAAAAAATTAAAAACAAAACAAATTTAGATTGACATACTTGTGCTCTGTGAGAGTGAAAGAACTGTCTCTTCTCCATTACAGCACGACTAAAGACAGCCAGAAATAAAAAGTAAGCAAAATTAATCAGACAGAACATCACGTCTAAAATTACAGGATATAGATCTATAAGGACAATCAGGATTTACTATCCAAGAATCAATCTTTTTTTTTTTTTTGTTTTTTTTTTACCCATTACTCTATAATAAATACATCCAATTGGCCCGATCGAGTCAGAATCTTGCACAAGTGAATCCAGCCAAGGGTAGGGGCAAGGAAATCCTACCCCCAAAGAGCCCTCTAGGGAAATATGATCCTACAACCTCATGGTTGTTGGATTTAAATCTTTAATCTTTCGACTAGGCCCCGCCTTGCTTGGTAGGATAGCTCACTTGTTACAAAGTGAATTTCAAACGATAGCTAGAGTCATAGATAATATAAATTCTGTTATTGTAATGATAAAAATTATAATATGGTGTTGGATAATAGAGGAAACTATGGTGAGGGGATAGGGCAGTGTGGAGGAGGAAAATTCATGTCAACGACGTGTCATGATTATATATATACTTTTGTTTATTTTAACAACCAACAACACTAGGGACAAAGAATAGTAAACAGGAAAGTGATGAACCTTCTAAAATCAGATCGTTCCATCGATAGCTTTCTCGTCTTTGCAAACTGGAGCAGCGCCGGTGGAGCAATACTGCTTCCTGATACAGACTGAATGCAATCTGGATCTGTAGAATTGTAAGATATATAAATTATAGGATGAAGAAATAAATTAAAAATATTGTATGTTTAGACGTGGGGTAAAACCTGGGACAGCATTTAGGGAATCATTGACACTTGAACTCCGAGCTCTTTCAATTTTACTGGAAAAGGCATCTAAAAAGCATGTGAGCAATTAAATTCCAGAGCGTGCATAGCTATTACAAAAAAGCAGAAAAAACTAAAGAAGAAGATACAAAAAAAAAAAAAAAAAAAAAAAAAAAAAAAAAAAAAAAAAGAAGAAGAAGAAGAAGAAAAAGATAGCAAGCCACAGCTAGCTACATATCAACTGACAAACATCAATGCTCATTCCTCCATCACCACAAAATACAAAGAAGAAACACTCGGTCAAGTTACCGGACTTGTAAATCTGGTACATAATTTTACTCAAAAAAAGAATTTATTTTAATCAGCAAAAAAATGAGTACATAAGACAGAGAGGACATGTTTATCAGAAAAATCTGTGACAAACAAGACAAAAGCATAACCAATAAATCACCAACAAGAAGCAATGATATCTGGTCAATACAATTTAAGGTTCGATTGATGTTACCAACTTACCATGTCATATTACTCATCTATTTGCCCTTTGCCTTTAAAATAGACAGAACAGATAAGAGAGAGTATACTAGGAGTCTCGGAGGGACTAGTTTCTATGTCTTATTCTCCAAATTACCCTAAAACTTCTTACAGCTAATGCGTGATTGGTTTAATAAGTAGTGAACTCAGAGTCATTTCCACAAAATTCCACCTCAAGTAATTTATGGTTACTACAGCATCATTCATAGGTTATAGATATACTGTCATCTATTTATTAAAAAAAGAAACAGTAGAAACAAGATATACATCCTCCAAAAGACAAGCAAGGACATTGTCAGTTTGTCACTGTTAAGTATATGAGTGTAAAGTATAATTAAAACAATAAACTTAAGCCAAAAATTCCTGATAAAACTCAGGTTTTGATAATTGGATCGAACAACAAATCCATCGTTACAACCTGCAAGCTCAGCTTTATATAATGTTACTATCTGTTCTAATTGACTTGTACTGTTTTAAATTAAATATAAACAGCAGAATTTTCCACCATAGCAGAAATTATTTTGATTATGAGCTGAACTTGAGCTCACTTTAGGCCCTGTTGGTTCCTTTGATTTACTAGTATAACTTTAAGTCAAGCAACTACAACCACAACTCAATCAAAAAGCTCATGAGAAGGTCACTTTCTTTCACAGTATTTTTCCATGTCTAATATTAATATACTCCGTAACATACCTCCTTTTTTTTCACTTGCAACATTTCAATAGTGTAAAATATACACATATAGGTTCAAATACATTTCATAATTAAGATTTTAAGAAAAACATAATCATATGGGATATAGTTGGGTTCGTAACAATGTCTATTTATTTTAAATCTAATTTTTTAGAAATGCATAATTACAGACAAAAATGGTTATTGGAAAATGTGAGAGCAAGAAATTTCGCAAGTAAAAAAAATGAAGTATATTTTAAGTATTGTGAATAGTTTTATTAAACCCGATATTTGATTGCAATTTTCCAAAAAATTTCTCATTTTAAAAGTTAATAAATTCTTTCAACCTCTCCTCCCTCCATCCCCCCCCCCCCATCTTTATCTCTCTCTTTTAACCTAACACACGTCCAAATCTTATTTATGTTTCTCTCCATCATTCAATAGCTTCACTCAATTCAAATTATAGCAGTAGGTCTGTACATCTCTTAACACTTATCTGATTCCTCTCCCTGCTAAACAAAGTATGATATTTCATCAATAATTTCTCTTCTTTAATAGAGGCGTGTCGCCGTTGGATCAGATAAGTCAGTGGCTCATACAGATATCCGCTAATGTTCTAGCATTCCCTCATTTTCTCAATCAACTTGCCGCTCGACTCTTATTCTATATCCACTTACTGTCAGATGAGAAAGTTAAATCATAGAAGTAATATGAGAATTAACAGGTGTAAAGTTTCGCACCTAGTTGCTGAGAACAGTTCATTTTTTGTTCCTAACTGCCAAGCTTGGTCCAGCAAGTCAGCAACTTGAGGCAATCCTAGAAAAAATGTATCGCAAGCCCATGTCAAGGTTAACTTTTCAGGCTCACAATCTCAGCAACTTGAGGCAATCCTAGAAAAAATGTATCACAAGCCCAGCATGCTCATTACCAATTGCTACCTCGGAAACCTCAATATGCTCATTAGAAACTCTACCTCGGTAACCTCCTCCCTAAAAGTTCTGTCAAAGTTCAAATCCTATTTCGAAATAAAATTCCTGACAGCACTGCAATTGCTACACTTAATTGGGAATCCTATGTTTTTATGGCACTGATTTCTATGTTATATCTAGCCAAGTCAAAGAGGCCAAGCACAATAGCGAAAATGAAAATTTTAAGCAGCCTATACATTTCTGTTGGTCAGTTCTTAAAGAACAAAAAATATCTAACACGCAAAGACAATTCACCAAAACGACAAACAGGAAGTAATATTAAATACAATAATGATAAAAAGATATTTCAGCAGCATATAGGCTATTCTAGTATATTAAATCCTTCATTATTTGTTAACGGATAATACTTCATACAGAAGATTTATTCATATAAACAAAAATTACAAAATAGAGCATACCATCAGCCTTATTCAGAAGATCACTTGCAGCAACACCCACATCCGATGTTAAAGTCAGCGGTTGTACATGCTTTGTCTTGTCAACTAGCAATTTGGTTGTTCTCCTATTTTGCCTTTTAAAGCTTCAAAACACAAGTTTACAAGAAAACAATAAAGCTGGTACAGTTACTAAAATCACTAGAGTCAACAATAAGTAAGATCACAGACAAAGTAAACTAACCAAAGAAAAAATATAAGCTGTTTAGGATCAACTCCATCTGCAACAATCTAAACAGAAAATATTAAGGATAAGGGCTAAAGGTTTCCCCAGACAATAGAAAATAATACAGAAACATTAAAAAGTTTATTGGCTGTTTTCAAGATACATTCATTGAAAGCATCTGGCCATGACAGAATCTAAACAAACAAGGACCATACACTTGCAAAATCCAGATACTTGGTTTGAGGGATGTAAGTCATGTAAAGTCTGAATCCTATAGATGGATCTAACATCAATGATTTTTTGACCCAAATATGAAAGACAAAACTATTTCTTTTTTTTTTTTTTTTTGACGAAAAAAGACATCACTATTTCATCATAATGCAGATACTAATAATAAATCCTCAAAATCCTACTATCCTAGCCTTTAATTGATGTGCTCATTGGATTACATACATCAATGAATATTAACAGGCTAACAGCCATTGTTATCAGTGGAAAGGGAGATCATGATGTACAGAGATCAACTCTTGGTTCTTAACTAGTCACCTTACAAAATACTGAGTATTTATGCTATTAGGTGAGATAAAGCACATTGCTCAAAGACCTACAGTGATTTATGACAACGTATAATATCTGTACTTTTTGACTAACAATATAGCGGAAATTTAAAGGTAATGTGCAAGCACAAAGGGCTTAACACCTTACTTAGTGCTACCATAAGATACAAAGAGTGTTGTTCAAAGCTGCCAGACGTTGAAAACTGCTGACAGCAAAATTACCTGATAAGACTCTCAAACAACTCCGAAACATACAACTAAAACAAGGTGCTGGAAACGGATAACTTACTATTTGGTATGATTTTAGGGTAGTTTTGAATCTTGATTTCGTGGAAAAATCAACATCTTAGTTCATTATTTACTCTAATTTTATGCAAATTTTGTGCATAATATGCTTCACGGGTTTTGTTTGTCTTTTTGATGCATTTTAGCGCTTATTGGCACCCATGAAGTCTATGGAGTGATCGAGGACATAAGGACAAGGAATGAGGCAAGCACGGGTTGGTGGAGAATGAAAGAAACATGAAAGAATGTCTTGGAGTGAAACAAGAGCATTTGGGAGTTAAGAAAGGATTTTTGCACACAAGGGTCAATTTCAATGACCAATTAATACTCAACACTTAGAGTGTTTCAAATTGGAGATTAAAGTTCACCACAAGAATCCCCTAAAAAAAAAGGTTTACCTCAAGAGCTTTCCAATGAGTGGTCACATGCCTTTTTTTACGAGTAATAAGTTATGTCTGTTTGAAGATTTCATTCAAGTACTGACGTGTCTTTTGGATAGGTCGCGCCTCCCAAACATTCTACCCATCACCTGTTTTAAGGAGGCGCAGCCTCAACTTTTCTACGATTTTTTCTTTTTTTACGGAGATTTCTATGGAATTTAAGGGTGATATAAATAAACCCTTTAGCTTAGTTTTAAAGGAGGAAATTTTTGTAGTTTTTAGCTTAGTTTAGTAATTTTAGAGAGACAAACTCATTTTCTAGAGAGAAAAAGTGAGAGAAACTTGTTGAATTCTTGAATTTTTAAGAATGGAAGGAACTTGAAGATTTAAATACTCCTTGCAAAATCAATGAAAATTGCTTACTCTTTTTCTTATATTTTATACTATAATTACTTATCTGTATAACTCCGTCAGTAGGTCTTCCCGTCGCTAGTTCAAAGCCTTGATAAAGGAGGAGGAGGGTTTCAGTAGGCCAACGTAAAACTTTGTCACATCCAATGACATAAGCCAAACTGATATTTTCATGGGGGGTGTTCCCTACTCAGGATTAAGTCGGGGTGGCTTAAATGGAGAGCGGCTACAAGAGTGTTATGTGACCAAAGCATTCCCTTACTGTTGAAGGGAAAATTCTACGGTACTACCATAACACCAGTGTTGCTCTATGGTACAGAATGCTCTATGGTACAGAATGTTGGGCTTCTAAGGAGCACATAAAGAAAATGGAGGTTACGGAAATGCGTATGTTAAGGTGGATGTGCGGGAAATCGCATGCGTTGGTTTGCGCATGTAAAACGAAGACCCGAGGGTACACTGGTTCAAAGAGTGGAAGAGTGGTACCGTGGAGGGGTTAAACGAGGGAGATTAAGACCGAAAATGACTCTGTTGGAAGGAGTTAGGAAGGATATGAAGTATATGAATTTGATGAGGATAAAGCATTGGATCGTAAGGGATGGAGGAGAAAGTTTTATGTGGATGACCACACAGAATAATCAGTTTTGGTTCATGTAGCCGTCCCCACTTATGGGATTAAGGCTTTAATTGTTTGAATTACTTAATTTTAGTTATTTATATATCTTTTCTAGTTTTATTACTTGTTCATATTAGATTAGGATTTCTATGTGCACTCCCAAATGTCTTGGGGGGCTCAGTTTTCGTGACATGGCTGTCTTCAACCAAGCTTTGCTTGGACGCTAGGCGTGGCGCCTAGTGCAAGCTCCCTCCTCTTTTTTTGCTCGAGTTATGAAATGCAAATATTTTACAAATTCGTCATTTCTGGAGTCCTCTCTGGGTCTGAATGGTAGTTACTCGTGGAAGAGCATTTGGGGATCTAAGTCGCTGCTTAAGGAGGGTTTAATATGGAGGGTTAGTGATGGCTCTAGTATTGATGTATGGAGTGAACCTTGGGTTGCAGATGACTAGGGCAGGTTCATTACCAGTGACAGAGTAGAGTCCATTTCTAATGTCAGAGACCTTATGGATATTCCACGGAAGGAATGGAATTATGAGCTTGTGGCATCCTTGTTCAACGAGAGAGATACTAACTGTATTATGACTATCCCGCTCGTTTCTTGCAAGGAGAAAGATACTTTGACATGGGCATTCACTTTAGACGGAGTATACTCTGCCAAGACGGCATAATTGTTGGGAAAATTGTGAAATCTTGACAACTTTCACCGAGCGTGGGACTCAATCTGGAATTTAGATTCCACCCCTAAAGTGCAACATTTTTTATGGCGTCTTTGTACTGAGACATTACCTGTGCGCACCCTGCTTAAGAGAAGGCACATGATAGACAGTGACAGCTGCCCTTTTTGTGCTAGTTCAGAATCAGTGCGTCATGCTTTATTTGAATGCCATATGGTCAGGAACCTTTGGGAGGAATTTGGCTGCGAGGAGATGTGGTGAAACACTGATAATTTGAGCACTATTGATCTGGTGGCTTCGTGGGAACAGGTGGACAGCAAGAAACGCCAACTTGGGGCTGCTTTGATGTGGCAGATTTGGTGCAGGAGGAACGATATGGTTTTCAACAACAAAGACACTCCTCATTAGCTCATACTTGATAGAGTTAACAGACTTGTTGCTGACTATAACAAGTATGCTACCAAGATTTATAACTGCAAGTCCAAAGCTCCTAAGCGCAGTCCCAAGCGATGGATAGCTCCTCGTGGCGAGGTCATCAAAATTAATTGTGATGCTTCCCTCAGTGATGAAGGGTGGGTTGGCCTTGGGGCTATTGCTAGAAATGAAAAGGGTGATGTTCTCTTTGCTGGTAGCAGACGCATGAGGGGAAGATGGCCTCCTGATGTTGCTGAAGGTATGGCAATGAGGTTTGCTGTGACTCTGGGACGAAGATATGGGATCAAGCATGTAATTGTGGAATCTGACAGCAAGGGTCTTGTTTCAAGACTTAATGCTGCTGCTACTTACTTCTCGGATCTAGACAAGATTTTGGATGATATTTTAGTGTTAAGTATGCATTTTGACTTTATTAGTTGGTCACATGTCAATCGCGAGGGCAATTTTGTTGCACACCACCTCGCTAAGTTAGTGCCGTTTCGGGTAGAACAAGTTTGGGAGAATCATTGTCCGTATGAGATTTCCCCGTATGTACTCTCGGACGCTTTGTCCTTGAACATTAATTAATAAAAGCACTAACTTGATTTCAAAAAAAAAAAAAAAAAAATATATATATATATCAGATTAGGATTTAATTTCATGTTCTTAGTTGCTAATACTTATAGTTTTGCAATCTATCATGATTTGTGACTAGTTGTTTTGCTTGTGATGGTTGAAGCCATTAATGAATTCACTAATACTTGTTTACATGTGTTGATTAGCTAATGTGGGGAGCTAATTAGATGAGCCTAAGTTGTTTCATTGCTAGTTCTTGTAAGTGGCCCATGCTTTCTAAGTTTTCCCAGCTAAAGACCTAGACATGGAACTTAAGTTAGCTCTCTTATGCTTAACTTAAAATGCCATGAGAATACGATTTCTAGTCAAAGGATGTTCATGTCATCGTGATTATGCTTTAACACTTATTTCTATGCTTTGTAACCACGAGAATAGGTTGTTTTCATGACTCAAAGTAATCCCTCTAGCTCGAGAAAGTAGTTGGGTGCATTAGATGACTTCCCCTAATTTATCCCTAAAATGTTATATCTTGCATGTTTAATTGTACTTTGTGAATGACTTGATAGGTGGATACCTTCCCAAGATCCTTTCTAGTTTCTACAGGTTTTCCCAATAGCTTCAAAACCAAAAGTAAACTTTGACTTATCACAAAACGATAATTGTTAGTGCTCCCATTAGTCCTAGTGGGATCAACCCTTACTTGCCTCTTTTACCCATGAGAGAGCAAGTTAGGGTTTTTATCTTTGGTAAGCTCGACGAGACGACGACATCCTAACAAATACCCCCCCCCCCCCCCCCCGTTTTTAGAATGAAGAAATTTTCATTACAGAGAACACAAAGAATCAGTCTCAAAACATTAAAAAGAAATTTACAGAAAAATCCCTTTGGCATTATTGCATTGATCCAAAGGACTGCGAATGTACTAAAGGTCTACATCTTACATAATAATAATACTTCTACTTCCCATACAAAACATCCACAGTATTTCATAAAGGCGCAACACCACAACACTTTTCACCACTGGTTTCTCCAAAATTTCCCTAAAAAATTTGCAAGTTGCCAATGACTCCAAAAATTGACGGTGAACAACCAAAAAATCCCTTTCACATCAAAGAGTTTATCCATAAAGAAGAAACCATGTGGCAACGTAAAAACATATCTTTATTGGGACACCAAAAGTCCCTTAGTTTAAAGCTGAGCAGTACAAAAACATCAAAAAAAAAAAAACCATAGTAGAACATGACAACAGGGAAGATACATGCAGCTATCACAGAGTAATCATGCAGTCCTAAAGCCCATTATTCTACAAGTACCAAACAGGACAAACAATCTTAATTAAAGTGAAAAACCTTAGTGAACGAGTCATTTGGAAAGTTTACCTCCAATCTCAGTGGATCAATTTTGACTGAAACATTCACAGCTTGATACTCCTGTGTCACCTAAACAAGTTAAGATTAATGAGATGAAGCAATGGAGAGAATGAACATCATAAGGGCGTATTCCTGAAGCATACTGACCCAAAATTCAAAGTTGAATAGATCATGACATGAGAGCAAGTGTAACTTCAGGCCCTGCAAAGTTTTTAGTAATACAGATGTATATCAAGCCTGGTTCAACACACACACACACAAAAAAAAAAAAAAAAAAAAAAAAAAAAAAAAAAAAAAAGGTGTAGAAGTTACCAACCTGAAAACTTGCACATTTAACCAAGCAGAAAGGGCAGGAGAAATCTTCCGTAACTGCATGTTCAGGCAGGATTTTGGGTCCAAATTTCAACATGTGAAATATATACCTCAAGACTCGGACAAAAAAAACAGCGAGAGAAGATATTCCAAACTAAAATATATGTTCACAATCTTCACACATAGCATAATGAAAATGGCATGTTAAGATAAAAGACGCTAGAAAACTAGCTTCTGAAATCTCTTACAGCCTTTACCTAGCAAAAATAGACATAACAAGGGATGAAAGACCAATAAGGAGACAGATCATAATACTAAATCAGACATTGAGGCCAAGTATTGGATGTGAACCACTTGCAGCAGACTAAAACTAGTAGAAAATGAAAATGTAACATGGGTAGCAAGTCAATTGAAAGATGTGCACTGCACAGCCACATTTTGGAAATCAGAACACTACTTAGAAAAACTAAATGAAGTAAAAACTGATTGCACTCCTCACCAACAATATCAAAAGCTGATTTTTTTATCCCATTAAATTCAAAAGGATTACCTTCAGTCCTCTGCAACTTGTTGTGGTAGTACCTGTAGTTGAAAACTACATTGCCGGTCCTCAACCTTACCCATAAAAAAATAAATAATTAAAACATCAACTTGGCTTTCGAACAACTATAAAAGACATTGAAATGTTAGCAATAATTATGCAATAATCTACAGCAATCATGAAAAGAAGTTTCCCCCATGGCCTCATAGGTTCTCAAGCTATGTAATCATTACAAAATTGGTTGTCAACACAGTTTCTCACTTGAGATTGAAAAATAGATACAAGAGATATCAGGCATTACCCCAGAGCATGAGAAGATAAATTGGGAACGCTGTTAGATGTACAGGGAGAATAGGGTGATTTTTCTTTTGCCCCTCGCTCTTCTGCAGATATGTTGACTTGTGCATGCTGCAAGCTCTTTTCGAGCAGAAACAGAAAATAAATAAGATTAAATTGTAAATAGCTTAAACCGTGTAGAAAAAAGCAGAAAATCAAAGACAAATTTGGAAGGATCTGGAAGTGGATCAGTGGATGAACAAACCATGTAAGTAGAACTCTTAGGCATCTGAAATGAGATACATTTCTCCTCGCCCAAGACAAAAGACTGCAAACACAGAAAATCCCATTAATAGCTTTGAGAGAAAACAGAGCCCAAAGGGCAATAAAAGACAAGTTGAAACAAGGAAGCTTTTTTGGCTAAAATAAATCATAATAATAATAATAATATCACAGAGAAATCAGTGACACAGACCTTCAAGTGGCAAAATCATTCAAGTTTACCTAATATTTTGTTCCCATTTTTTCTATCCTTGGATTGGGAAAGAAATTTTAGCAAAACTGAACAAGTGATAAATAAATTAGAAAAATTAAGTGAATATAAATATATAATCACTGATAAAATAAGATTTACCTTTAGTAATAGAGGATACAATGTATATAAGGTAATAGGTATATAATTCTTCTCTTTTTTTTTCCCGTGTCAAGGAAGAAATTAAAGCTTAAGTTTGTTAGTTTGTTAATGACAATGATAAAATTAAATTGAGTTGTGAATGAATTAAAAATAAATAAATAAAATAAAAATTGTTACTTCAGATAAAATAAAATAAAAATTCTAGCCATAACTTAATAGGTAAGACAACTCTAATTAGAGTTAAATTCACAGAGATAATTCCTCAAAAATATACTATTATGATAACATAATTACATAGTTTTTTTAATAAGAAAAATGGGATATGACAACCACACACCCCACAAATTAACCAAAACAACCATGTCTCTAGCAGTGCTTTTGCTCCCTCTTAGATTATATATCTCCACTCTCATAAATAAAACAAAATAATTTCCAAAGTGATTCTTCTATACTATATAGCTTCTCTTGCCCAATAGAGGGATGAGATTCCCCTTGTTTTGAGTTGTCCAGCTTTTGTATGTTCATAAAATCACGTCCATACTTGAACTGGACAGCATAGGATTTAGGAGTAGGCCTTGTCAAAAATTCATAATCCACAAATGTGGTAAAGATCCTCCTGTGCAGATTAAATTCTTCCACTTTAAGCAAACAATCCGCTAATACAGCTGAAAACTAAGTTACTCCTCCAATTCACCTCAAGTGCCCGTTCCATTTCAGGCAATAGTAGGAAAATTTTACATAAAGTGGCCACGTTTAGCAATATTGGACACATGTCTGACACTTTTGGTCAAGTTTTACATAGCATAGACTAGTAATTAGCAAAACTTAGAGCAAATACTACTGCTATAACAGATGCCCTCCTCTAATTTTATTTAAGACATATACTTCTTATACAGCAAATTATATATTTACAAATTTTGATATAATAGCTAATTTTTTAATATGAATTTCATTTTAATTATTTAATATTAGATTCTTATATCCAATAAATTAACCATGTAAATCAATATTATTCATAAACAACATACCCAATGATAATTTAAATTTTTAAAATAAAAAATATATATATATATATATAAAAAATAAAAAAAAATAAAAAAAGTCATGTAAACTTTCACTATTCATCAAAATTACAGCAAAAAATTTAATTATTCTTTTTTTTCTAACACTACCCTTCAACTGATCACTACTCAGTCAGTTCACCCCTCATACAAAACACAAATCCATTATCTTCCATTCTTCATAATCTTTTGACAGGGTTTTCCAAAGATAGAGAGAATAACATAGACAAAAAAAATGTCCATGATTACTGACTACTAATGCTAAAATACAAGTTATACACAGTCAAACAGTAATTCTCCCCACCAAAGTAAGATAGCATACCTTCAAAAGACAGGGACGCAAGTCAATTGTAGACAACATTTCAACTCTCTCCCCTCGGCTCAAATTTGGAAACTTTTCCCAAGATAAGAATAGCGACTCCATAGATATTTTCCCCCATAAACAGGACTTCTCAACACTCGCTGCAATAGAGAGAAAAGTTCAAAACCAACTAGCTTTTGCAGTCAACTCATAAGACATGTAAATGTGCAACAGAAACTCATATTCAAGATAACTACATAAAAGAATACGGTCAAAGAAACAAATCAAGATCCAGAGATATTACAACTATGACAGGTATTGTGAAAGAAAAGAAATTTTTATGAAAACTTTCTTTTTAAAAGTTTAGTTCTCTAAGCATAAAACGAGTAATATATACACATAAACATACACAATCTGTAACTAGTACTACCTACTAGTTAAAAGTATCAATCATAGCTTTTGTAATAAAAAAGAATAATATGGAAAATAAGGTTTAAGAAGATACTTTAAGCCCGTAATTCCCCCGTAAAAATAAATTTTATCTAACTTCTCAAAACTGAAATTACTCGTCCAAAATTCAGACTCAGAAAGAAACTATCACCAACAGAGTTAGACAGATAACAATGTCTGCTCGGTCTACCAGACTTCCTAAGACATAAGAGAATGGTCTTCTTTGCCTGGGTCAATTTGGTTATATAAAGTACCATTTAACCAACATCAAATATAGAAATTTAGCAGGAGAATATGCTAACATACTCCACATCCACTAAATGGTGTCCAAATTACTGCCTGTTAAAAAGTTTTGAATAATCAACAACAGGACAGAACTTCGCTCCTCCAGCCCTCTCCTTCATTCTGTTCCTCTCCAAAATTCTAAAATCTCAATCATATAGTTCATTATACCTCTTCTTTAATACTTTCATTGCATCAATACAATCAATCAAAAAATGTATCTACAACCTAAACAACTTTATTGGTTCACTTTGATCGTCTTAGTCTTCCCAGCCACCAAATTTCAAATTCCACTTACAAGTCCCAAAGAGAAACATCTTACTTGAAAGGGATATGTTATCCACTTTAGATGAATCAAATCCATATGAAGTATACACCCCAGCTGCAATTGGAACAAGAGAATAAGTGATCAAGATATCCATACAGCATGCAATAAGAATAAGAAGAGAAATATGATGCCATGTCAATACATCTGAATAGCATGGCTAAAATATTGAACTGAACAACATACCATAGCTAACAAATAAGATGAAAAGGGATCCAGATTTGGCTTCCCTCACAAGCTTATTCATCTCAGGTAGAATGAATTTGACTCGTGCTACATTGCCTCCTTCAGTCCTTGGAGATGTGAGCAGTCGAGCTTTAGTGTAGCGATAAACTGCAGAGTGCTATTGACAACAGCATTACAAAAACGAATTGCTACAAGTTTAATCACACACTGATATTAGGTACTTAAATATCATGCAATGTACGAAATTCAACCACAGACTACGACAAGACAATGATTGCGTAAAGCAGCTTAAGACCAGTAGTACTTATGGCTGTCACAAATACAGCATAAGAATTATGTATTCTAAAATTCTACCTCCACGTCAGATGTATCAGATAGAGCCTTAGCCAATATGATATGCATGGGACACAAACTGCGCATTTGTAATCCATCATCCAATGCCCCTGACAGAGAAACTGTCATTTGTATCCTACACATCATCAAAAAAACGTTTTGTTATACTACGGAATGTTTCTGAACAAAAACAGGAATGGGAAATGCAGAATGATAGGCAAGTCCAGTAACAGCAACAGCAATGACAGCAAGTTGATGATAATATCAATCATCAAAACATCAACTATATACCTTCTGTGGTGCCTTGTCTGTACTTTGTAATGTAAGGACCGTTGAAGAAATAATGGCTGCAACAAATTGTAAATTGTCAGGAACAATCAGTAAAGAAAGGCTGCTTGTCAATACGGCTATAAGACATAAAAAGATCCAACAATGCACGTCCAAAATTGTCTTCCTTTTTAGATAAATTCATCATGTACTTTTTATTATGGTAAGGGGTTAAGGCTTTGTTGTTGGTGGTGAAGTTGTTATTGTTGTTAAAAAACAAAAAAACTTGAAAAAGTAAATAAGGATACTTCAAAGATAGCCAGCTTCATATTAGAATAAAGTCTCCCACAGTTTTAACCTATTTCAAACTTTTTTGTACATATATACAAAAAAAAAGATATATAATAAACTGGAAAGAGGGAAACAAAAAAAAAAAGGAAATTCTCACCGGTAAGACCCAACTTTTGTTTTTTCTCAACGGTAGAATGCAAAAAAAATTATTATTATTGGTAATCACCAATTAGTAATACTAATTTACTGGTAATATTAATGAAACATTTACCTAATTATTGACTAACCATGGATTAATAATAACACAATTACAAACCTACCCTTCTAAAAAATCAATTCCCTCCAAAGTTATATGCTACTTTCCCTCCTTAATCAATTACCCCTTTATATAAACCTTAAACAACCCAATTCTATTCGTACTCCTTGTTCTTCTTCTTCTTAATTTCTCTTAATACTACCATGGCTAAACAAAATGCTCCAGCAAAAGGTTCTTGAGACAGGAGGTCAGCTATAGGGAATGAGTCACCGTGATCTGCGACAATACTCAATTGTTTTCCAGTTAGATTAACAACAGAATTTGCAAGCTGACTTGCAATTAGTATACTAGATGAAACCCTGAAGTTATTTGATTAGACATAAGTGGTTAAGGGAAAATTGGGGCAATTGAGTCATTTCGTAGCTAATTTTCCACTTAACATAGTAACCATGGTTAAGGACTTAGGTAAAAGTTTCATTAATGTTACCAGTAAATTAGTAATACTAATTGGTGATTACTAATGATAATCCAAAATATTATATTCTACCATTGAGAAAAAACGGAAGTTGGGTATTACCGGTGAGAATTTCCCAAAAAAAAAAAAGGAAAGCTAATAGTGCAAGATCTATTTTTAAAACCTAATATGTAATACACCATTACACCATAATCGTCCCAGCACATTGAAGGAGAAATTTATCATTTTAGAGGTTTATATGAATAAGTTAACCTATAAAAAAAAAAAAAAAAAAAAAAAAAAAAAAAAAAACAGTTTTTGAAAGATTTTGGACCAGTCAGGACCAGAGACTGGAAAATAATAGTTTCTGTCTCAGAGACCAAACCAGTTTACTGCAATCCTGTTCAGTCCATATTTTTGCAATACACCTAACTATTACAAAAGTAAAGCACACAACTCAAGAAATGAGATACCTTTTTTAATTTATTATTCTTAAGTAAAAGGAGGGCATGCTAAAATCGTTACGGCAGCTTAGACTCAGAATTTAAGCTAACTATCTAGCAAAATGATAATGTTGCCTGGTTTTCTAAAAAGTTCTTACTGTGGCAATTTCATCAAACTCAAATTTCTCCCAAAAGATAAATAATGTTAATACTAGTATGCTACTAGTTCTTAGATTTGTTAATCTACAAACAAGTGCAGGAAATGGGAAGAAAGAATCAAAAGCATTTGATGGATTATAGGCTCCATTCCAGCCAGGCAATAACCTTCTTTTCAAACTGTTTTCTTCCCGTTTGTGTTTTTCTTGTCCATGTGCATATAATAATCCAACAATTATAACACCACGACATAAGAATGCCAAAAAAAAAATTGAGAGAGTTCCAGACTTCCAACAAACAAGGGTACAGAAATTGCCAGTCCATGTCCATTTAATAATCCAACAACTATAACAAAATGAGATAAGGATGATAAAGAAAAAATGAGAACGAGATCCAACAAACAAGGGTACAGAAATTACATTTCTTCTAGCACGGCGTTGAAGAATGTTATAAAGCTCTACAGGTTTGCAGTATGCAGATAAACTCTCCTCAGCAGCAATTTCCTCCTCAGCAGATAAATGTACCCGAGAATCTTGACGGCACGACTGATCTCCATTTCTAGACTGGCTGCTATTAACAAAAAAAAAAAAAACACTACCTTAAAAACAAGATCAATTACCAATGATATAAAAATAATATACAAACTGACACTCTCCCCAACAATATTAGTCAGCTCCAACTGCCTAAACAACGAAAATGATCATATTATATGTGCTTTACATCACCAACAAATTGCTTGAATGAAGTAAAACCGTAGCTGCTAAAATTTAAAGAGGCGACACAATAAATGCAAATGCTTTAAAGCCGTACATTGTTTCTCGAGCCACAAGAGGTATGCCAGGCATTTTCAAATAGCTGCTACCACAAGCTCACAAAACGTACAAAGTATGGAACAGCCTGCAACCAACACCATTTGACCAGTCACCAAAAAATGCAGAATCCATATGATAATATGAGATAAACTTACGCATAAATTAACATAAAATAATTAAATTTTAACAAATGGCACGCTTAATTTAGGCCACATTATGCCGCAATATGTGAGCTAAGAAACTTAGCAAACCTCGGTTTGAGATAAATCACAAATGCGTCTATTTGTAACATGCATTTCGGCCTTACGGGGCAGATTAACGATCAGAATTAGGTGTTACAAACGTACAATGAATCGTCTAATATCCGATCATTTTTGCTAATGGTTTGGTATGGGAGTAGGATAAGCTCAAGGTCAATAGAATATAGGCAAGCTCGGTTCGGCTCCAATAGCCACAAAATTTATCGAATTGGTTCATCGGTTCGATTAAGCTCAAATATTCATCACATAAACAACCAAATGTGACTCAATTATGAAATTAGGCTAGAAAAATCACAAAACAAAACGAAAAAAAATAAAAATTAAAACTCTTCTCGCTTGAAATTTTCGACGCAAATTGCACATAGCAAAATTAACAACAAATTCGCTCGTTGTAATTTTTCATAACTTGAATAATTTGCCTTAGAAGAACCCTAAATTGAGTATACTGACAATCGAATTGACGATAACGTAAAATTAAACCCTAGATTGTGAAACTGAAATTCGATGATCAAAAAAACATCTAACCTGAGAAGCTGCTTCAATGGAGGAGAGAAAGATCAGAAGCCGCTTCAAGGGAGAGTTCCTAATGCGCTTCAGGAGAGAGACAGAAAGAGGGGGATTGCAGAATAAAAGTGAAAACTCCAAAGACAGTAGTAAAGTAGTACTGTATTAAAAGTTAGTAATAATCCTCTGATCCTCTCTAATTATTAATATTACCTTATTATACGGGGCATTTGACACGTTTTGACATTAATATTGTTTATACTTTATTTTTCCGTGTTTTGTGATTATAGGTGTAATCCCCCGTATTTTTAAATATTTTATAAATAAAATTTTATTTTATTTATAATATTTATTTGTACTTTTCCGGAATTTAATTACAAAAGTTTCAAATTATTAATATTGGTCAAAAATTATTTTAGCACTAACTATTTTATGAACCTATGTTCTACAATTCATGATCACACAAACAAAGCCTAGTCCATTTAATTTACCTAATTGACCCAATAATTTTATGAGGCCCAATCTTCTTACTTACCCTACAACATACTCTCCTATAAATACCCCATTAATCCCCAAAAATTTCCCATACAAAAAGGTTAGTCTTATTTTCTCTCTCTCCTTTGTTTTATTAATTTGTATAATTATAATTATTGATTTATGGATTTTGATTTTATTGTTTGAAAGTAATTTAATTAGTATCAAGTTGTATTTTGATGACTAAACTTTATAATTTCAGATTTTATAAGTATCATAATTTTCAGATTTTGTAAATTTTATAACCTAGGGTTTTTAATTATTGAAAATCATGATTTTAGGGTTTTTATGAACAATTAATTTAGGGCTTTTATAGTAATGATGTTTTGAAAATTTGGTGATTATAACTAATGATTAGTTTAGCTTAATTCCAGATTATTTTGAACATGTAAATTCGTGTTTTAATTTTTAGATTTTCGTTCGTTAATATTAATCCTGTTTTAATCCCGATCAGATTCTGAACTCAACCGATTTTGATGAAAAAGTAGTGTTTTTCATGTGTAAACAACGTTTTAAGAAAGATTCACTACCAAAGGTAGTGAGCACCACCCTCTCGTGGCCAAATTCAGCCTCTAAATATGATTTTCTGACAGTTTTTTATTTTAACGAAGTTTTTTTTATACTTAAAATATTATCCTTGAGTTTGATTAATAAAATTAATTATGTTTAAAGTTAATTAAGCATAAATATATGTTTTTATTGAAGTTTTAAGTGTTGGAAATAGTTTCTAAGTACTACTTTTAATGTTTTATAAAGAGGGTTTAATCACCCATTAAAAAGGGAGTTTTTTAGGGGGTTTTATATAATTTTCAGATTTTTATTAGACTTTGAACTTGCTGTAATTTCATGTATAAGAGTGTATTTTAAGGTTTTTATGAAGAAAATTTAAAGAACTATATATAAGCCTTTAATTTTAACTAAAGGGAAGGTTTTAAAGTGTTGTTTGATTTGGATTTTGAAGGTTTTAAAGTAAGTTAGTATTGCTGTAAATTTGATTGATTGGGTATTGATTGAGATGTTATTATTTGGCTTAGGAGAGGAGTTTATTGAAGGTGATTTCTAGTTAGTAAAGTGGCACACCAATTCGTTTGCTCAAGGTACGTACAAGTTACAAAACCTTTCTTTTAGGTGCATGTTTAAGGACGACGGATCGAGAACTTAGTATCATGTATAGGGATGACTGAGTTAAATTGTTTGGTTATACATTGTGAATTTCGTATGACGTGCACTATTTTATATTGCAAGTATTATTTGTGTTCTAATTATGCAAGGTGCGCTTAGAGGCAAAGGTATATGATTGGTGTAATGATTAATTTATTACTCATTCATGATTATGCAAGCAGGATGAGTAAAGGAAGAATTTAAGTCTTCTAAGACGAGGTTAAGGTTTTGGGGTGCCTTATGCACTCAAGGTGTTTATACACCGAGGTAGTAAAGGAATAAATAATAAATGTTGCTTGCCACTAATAAATCAAGAATTGAAATTGAAAAGTTATTTTACTTGATTGAATTGATATCGGATTGATTGTATTGTTATGCATATGAGTCATCACCAAGTCTAAACCTGTAAATCACGTAAAGTGCAAGATGGATGAGCAATAAAACTCTGGATTGGTGCACTTCTAGAATAATGACAATCAGGGGTTGGGGTACATGGGGTATTAGTCGTGTACTTTTCTCGAGGCCGTCTGATCTACGAGTCTCTTATTTCAAATATTTTTCAAAACTAGGAGTTAGGTGAGATCTCATACTAACTACGGTCACGGAGTCGCGCCCGTGGTCGTTGGATGTTTATTGATGTTTCCGAAAGGAGGCATTGGGTTTTTCTTTTATTGATGTTCCAAATGGAGCATGGGTTGGACAACCTTGTCTATTGCGTAATCCAATGAATAAAAATAATGATTTACCTATTATTAATTAATGGTGTCTTAGTAATATATAAATAGTTGTGTCGTGTGTTGAGTCTATAATTTAATGATGCATGATGATTGATTATTAGTAGCATGTTATGGATTTCTTAATTTATTTCGCAGCTTGTATGTACTCAGTTTTGCTGATTGCGTGCTTTGTGTGTCTTTCTTTGGTCATGGCCTTCGCCTTTCAATGACCCTGTGACGATCCAATTTTTACACTTATAATATTGGGGAGCAGAATTACCACAGGTTCTTACACATGCAGCATTCATCAGGGTTGTGGGATCTTGAGTAGATAGTTGGTTGTTTGCATTTTATTTCTTTTGCAAGTTTGAATTTATTTTAATTCGATTTTATTCGACACTATTTCTTTTGGGTTTGAATTTATTTGAACACTGAATTTAATCACTTACTACTTTTATTGGGTTTTGAATAAGGGCCTTAATGGTTCCAAGTTGTATGACTTAATTTGGTTTCATTCGTTGGTTTTGAAACTTATTTATAACTGATTTAGTTTTTCCGCTGCTATTTTCTGATAAAGCCTTAACGTTTGAACACGTGGCGGTAACACGTCAGTAATTCTCTTGAATATTGTTCAGGGTCCTCACAGGTTTAAAGAGAGAATTATTGGAGTGTTACAATAGGTAATGAAAAATGTAGTTCGGTAGAAACTTTTTGATTCATCGCCATATAGTAGTATATTTTCAAAATATCAACTTATTACGGATTATGATTTTTACGATTTTAATGGTTAAATTTATATATTGGCAAACGTTACAACTAAATGAAACAGAAAAAGCAGTTAACATTACCTCTATTTCAAAGCGACATTTAATATAATGAACTAGTGTATAACCCGAGCGATGCACCGGATTTTACTAAGAATATCAATAAATATTAATTAAGCTATAAAATATAAACTTTGTAATTAAAATAAAAGTTAATAATAATAATAATAATAATAATAATAATAATAACTATGAAATTAAATAAGTGATCTCAAATTGTTATGCAATACAAAGTATTTGGTACTATTATAATTGAAAATGATACAAATTAAAAGATAACAAATATGGTAAGGACATAAATTCATTTCTTAGTGGTATTGCGTTCAAACCTTGTAATAGTTATTTTTATTGCCATTTTACATGATTAAAACATGTTTAGAGTATAATGGATGATAATGGCATACAATACATGTGAAAAGGTGACGTGGCATTGATCTAATACATGTAAGGGGTGCCATAGCACGCATTTTGTATAGAACCCTTTTTTTATTATTCGAATAAGGTACAAGACTAAAAGAGAAATAAACAACCAAAAGCATTAAAAATATATATATATATATATATATATATATATATAAAAACTAGCAGCTACTAAACAAACACCTAACTACGGAGGGACAAAGAGTAGCAACGACACTCCCTTTGTATCCTCCTCTAAAATACGATTAAGTTCTACCAGAATGTTATTAAAGAAAACAAGTTGAGAGTCTTGAATGACTCCGCGGTTGGCCGACCAATCCACTGCTCTATTCCCTTCGCGATACATATGTGCCACCTTTTAGAAACGCTTTTGTAATACTCCGTACTTTTTTTTTTTTTTTTTTTTTTTGCAGAAATATTTTCTTCCCTTTTTTTTAAACTTGTCATTTCCTTTGATCACTCTCCTCATCACATACAACTTTATTGTTCTCCCTCTATTTACCGGTCACAAAAAATATTTACTTTAATATTTTGATGAATGTCACATCATTGCAAATAATTTGAAACGAGAGTAGTAACTTAAATTTATAAACAGTTTTGGTTGGAGGTAATCACGAAAGGGAATGGGAATCAACTGACCTGATTCCCTTAGTTGATGTTTGTTTAGCACTTTTATTCATTCCCTTTACCCTCCTCATTACCCCAAATCATTCCAACTCCATTCCCCACCCCCCTAGACTTTCCCATTCCCTACCCACCTTCACACCTACCAACACCACTAGAAAACCAGCCCAGAACACCGCCGCCCCTACCCTGACCACCGCCGAGCCTCCCCCGACCATCGCTGCACCTCTACCGCCTTCCCTCCCCTCGTAATTCTTCACCCAGCCCCCCAAAAAACCCTAAAAACTCCCCTCCCTCCCCGTAAAACCACTAGACGAGCCTCCCACCACCCTCGAAACCCTAGGCGCTAGGGTTTTGAGGGTGGTGGGAGGGTAGTCTAGCGGTTTTACAGGGAGGGAGGGGAGTTTTTAGGGTTTTTTCTTGCTTAAGGTAGTTTTTCGAGGGAGGATGTGTCGTGGTGGGGCCAGCGAGGGGTGGGGGAGGGATGTCAAACGGCGGCGAGGGGCGGTGGAGGGCTGGCGAAGGGCGGTGATCGGTTTCTTGACTAGAAAATATACAAAATTGAAATATGTGGTGGTTGTGGTGGTGGTGGTGTGGTGGTGGGAATGTGGGATTGATTCCCTTTGTTTTTAAAACAAACAACAAAGCAAAAATGAGGTATTTTCATTCCATTCTCTTTGTTCATTCCATTCCGATTACCCCGTGCGAACCAAACGACCCCTTAATCTTTAAAGATATTACATGATCGTGTTTTATCATACTCCATTAGACCATCAAGGTAGTTTGTGAAAACTAAAAATATTTTCCAAAGTTGATATTGTCATATATAGTGTCTTCTTTTGTTTTTCAAAAATACTGTTCTATATTTCATTTACACTCCTCTCACATTAAAAAGAAGTAAAATTGTTTGGAGACCTGAGTTTTTTCAACTATCATAAAAGGGGTAAGACTTATAGGGGTTACGACAATAAGTATTAGACAGTAGGGGTTAGGGCCGCCATGGGATGCAAGACACTAGTTCAGCTCCCATCGATGGCGCCAGGGCCACCATACAAGTAACAACATATATGTCACATGATTAGCTTAAGAAAGGGGATCAAACATCTCATTATTCAGAAAGTGATGGTAAAAACATTTATCTCCAATCTTGGACGAGATTATCAGCAAGCATTTGCTATTAATAATTACTGTACAAACTAAACAGAAAAGCAGAATATCATGTTTCAGAACTCTGAAATGAATAATGAACACCCGACAGAAGTCATTCCAGTTTACTAGTAGCACATAAAATTTCTGATAGACTACATAAAACTGTACAAGAAGTAATACCCAACAATAGCAAACTTAGATTAAAGAGCATTATTATAGCACTGATGTAGTAATGTACAGAAGAGCAGGGGTTTCCCCAACCTCACCCCCGCTATATTTCTACGGATGGATGAGAACGGAATTTACTGGTGACACACAGATTTCTTTGATCTTGTAACCTTCAGTAGCTTTTTTAATAAAAGTAAAAAATTAATGCTAGACTCCAGTAACCTGAAACAGAGGAGTAAACACATTTAGCAAAGCCAGTCCAAAATAGCAAAGTTTTAGTAATATTGGCCAAAATCATAGACAGGCAATGACAAAGGCCATCTAAATAATGTATCATTTTCAGCATATTAAATCAGCTCTAATTGATTCAGCTCAACATAATGACCATGAATCAAAATATCTAGTACGTATTTATTGTGACCTCTAGCTAAGCAAAATGTGCCTTGTCAGCTTTAAAAGTGTATAATTCTAACAAAATACAGCAACATCAAATGACTCTGATTACAGTTCATTTGTTCTTGCTTATAGCTTCTAATTTATCTCAATGTACATAGAAGGTGCCTCCCTGACAAGATATATAAATTAAATTTTCTCTTGCATCTAGATAAAAGTCAAATTTTGAATGTTGAAAAGATTTCCATAACAGTGATAGATAATGCAGGTGAATCATTAGTTTATTCACCTGTGATCAACTGCTGCTTCCCATGTCGAAATCCATTGTGTAATCATATTCAATAGTAGGAATTACTGATGCCATAAATTTTAAGAATAAGAAGAGGTACCTACACAAATCAGAAGAGGCCATTAAAATTTTTAGATAACTCAAATACATTGCAGAAAACATGAACACATGACACCAAGTAAAACGCCTGGGAAGGGGAAAAGATGAGAGGAGCATGCAAAAACCATATTAGAAATATATAAATCAATTCAAATAATAGTGTATAAGAATTCTAGTAACCAGCAAGTTAGCATATCATTAAAAGCCCTTATTATTACATTGGGAGCATTTACGATAAGATAAACATTTAGCTGACTAATCATCAACAGTTTTTCAGAATCATATTGTGCTAAGATAAGAAAGAAAAAAAATTAGCTGCAATTGCAAGATAAAAGCAAATATAAAACAAGCACATAAATGGTCAAGCCTATCAATTCGTCAAACTCAGCCAGAAAGAAATCAGGTCAGAACATGTGTTGCTTTAAACAGCTAAAGAGCAAGAAATTTTATACAAGAAAAGGGAACTACTTGTCAACTTCTGGCTCAACCCCACGTGACATCAAAACATCAATAATTTTCTTCATCACTGCACCATGTTTGCATGGATGCACAGAAGCATGCTTTCCAGGTAAATGAGGATGATCTTCTATAGTCACCTGTAGTCAAAAATGAAACTGTAAGGCCAGTGCAGAGTATAATCAAATGATTGTATCAGAATATTGGGTGCACCTCAACTCATTTGATACATATATCAACGGAAAAGTTAAAACCTTCAAAGAATATTCAAACTAATAAACAATAATCTCTAGCAAATAGCAATAGAGTTTAGGCGCCTCAAAAAGAAAAAAAGAAAAAAAGGGGTTTCGACCTTTGTTGCTGCATTCCAAAGCTAGCACTAAAAAACGGTTATAAATAGCTTTTTAAAAAAAAATCCTGCATTTATCCTACAACCCTCTGCCCTGCTCAAATCTATACATGAAGCATTATTCTTTGTTTTACTTCTTTGCTAGAACAAATTCAATAAATTCTACATTGAATGGAAAGAAGGGTCAGTGTCCCATGAACCACAATAAGATATTTTTGCTGTTGGATGATTCATAAGAAGAAGCTTACCACAATTATATTACTATTAAAAAAAAATTCAGTGAATAAATCTGAAATTAGTTGATGATGTTATTTTTGTACGCAGGCAAAATAAAAGATCCTACTTAAAAAAAAAAAAAAGAATTATATATATATATATATATATATATGCATTGAAAGCATTTGAATTCACTGAAGTACTTATTTTTAAAATAAGCGCTTTTTAATTCAAAAGGTAATTACCACCCAATTTTTCTGTTGGCTCATAAATTCAAAATTAGTATCAGGCTTCAAGTTGTACCGGTAGGCTAATTTAATCTTTGATCAATTGCTATTATTTTACTTATTTTGAGCCTTTATCTGATAAATAGAACTAATCCCACATCATATAAGCAACACTATGGTTAGTGTACTAATCTTACATGGAGCTACCGCGGTAGAGAGAGAGAGAGAGAGAGAGATGCTATCAGCCAAACACAATCCAAGGAGCACAAATAATACATGGCATATCATGATTAAAAATTTCAGATGATTGTCATCAGAATGCAGAAACATAAGGCCTAAATATCAATTAAGCACTGAAAAGAAAGGCTAAAAGAGAAAGCTGATTGCCATCATTGAAAAAATCATAATCTAACCGTTTTGCGAGCATGGTCTTGACTAACATCTTCAAGCACAAGCTCTGGTTGCAAAAGCATCCTTGACTGTATCAAAAATGCAAAAATGCATCTGAGTGAGTAAAGCATGCACTAGAAAGAGTGGAGACCATTTTTATCAGAATACAGAAATAACACCATGGAACTCAATCTCCTCCCGTGGTACGCCTCAAAGATTAAATTCATTCAAAGTCATACATTCTATTCTCAGACATATAATTTGAACTGATGTGATATGTGGCTTGTCTTTCTACAAGTAATTAGGCAACAGGCAGGCATATTGTGAAGCCTTATATATGTGATAGCAGGATATTTACCAGCAGTATACAAAAGATAACAAGACAGTTGACTGACCTCATCATATCCAGTTAGCCATACACGAGGAGTTTGATAATACTTGTCATACCTGAGGAATCATACAAAATCCTTGAGAATTGCGGGAGAAAAAAAGGGAAAGAATTACAGCAAGAAATGAAACAAAAAGAGTTCATCTTTACATGAACTTACATCACATTGCAATTAGAATAAACTACATGTAAAATAAGCAATATCACATATGTACACAAAAAGAACACTGCCCACATTTTCTCATTAACAAACAATATGCATATGAAATATTGAGAGTTCCAAGGTCATACAAAAGAAAGCAGGAAGCCTATAGATAAGCCAACATATGCCCAACAGTTACCTACGTTCCAATTCTTTATTTTAGGATCTTTTCTATATTGAAAACATTCAGACAGAAAGGTCCACTACCAACAAAAATTCACCATTTTCCCGGAATCCAGGCTAATGCATTGGAGAAAATCAATCTGCCATTGGTAAACCGTAAATGACCCCAAATCTAAAATATAAAGCTGATTATTTCCCATGAGTTTTAGAATGCATACTAACTCAAGACTGTTAAATTTTTTACACACAAAACTAAGCAATTTTCTAATGATCATACTTTATGCTGGTTTCATATGTATCAGTCACAGACTCACAAGCCCACATGCATCAAAGCAATTTCCCCAGAGTCAATTTTTTAACGGTGTGGACTATGAGTCACACGATTTACAAACCAAAAGATGACACAACCTTCAAATCATTCAAACTAGGATTTCTGCTTGCTTCTCTCACAAGAAACCAAAATCAGGCCGGTAGCACTGCGAAACCCTTCTACCCAACTTTCCCTTTCTTTGTTTAAAAGTTGGTGATCATTATTTAACAACATCAATGAATTATCAAGCAAACTTTACTTACTGATGCTTTCAAAATGTTGCAGATAACTAATCATAAAATATAAATAAACAGCTACTAGTAAAGATTGCATCTTACGTAATGCTGACATCGTATGTACGAGTTCGTAGTATATTTTCTTCATCAGGTTCTTCAGCAACTAGATATGTGGTCTGAAGAGTAGCCTGAAATAAAAATTAAAAAAAAAAATCAAGAAATTCTTCAACAACTTTGATTCCATTGGCCCAGAGAGTTGCAATCAGCAGTAATTATTGAAATCAAACCCAATCAAATATTGTTATGTCAGAAAGGGAATTGGAGGAATCCATCAAAATATTAAAATAGCAAGAAGAAAGCTCTGCTATGCTGAGCTAGAGGAGTCACTTATCTAGCACAGTGACATTCAATTTTGTGTAAAATCAAAGCATATCAAATTGCAGGTTTGAGTAAAACAGATCATCTAAACCACTGTGTGAGTGTGTTCTACACCAAATTTAGCTGATTACAGGTACATGGCATAGGCAGGACCCACATTCTCTTACTTGAAGCTCCCACACTCTCCTCACAAAGGTATTTTCCTTATAGAAATATGGCATTAGAAAACAACTACCGTGTGCCAAAGATCAGCCTGTAAAGCATACATCACTATAAACTATCCCAATCCAAACTTATAAATTACAATATCTTTATTACTATGCATTAGTGCAGTACAGTAGTATAAACTTACTGGATCTGCTTCAATGACATTATCTTGTCCTTCATACTCTGTCATCTCAGGAATATCATCGTCCTCTTCACCTCCAAAATATGAAGATATAGACTGTATAGGTTTGTTTTCTGTGATTTCTAATGACTCCATTGAGGGCAAGTTTTCCTCCTCATCGGGCTTAGGTTCTGCAGAAGGTACAGCATACATTACATACATTGAGTTCAAATCAACATTACAACAATTTAAATGTATCCAGATTGATAACAAACCTTTTGGTCTTCCGTGAGTAGCTAACCAACCATCATTATCTTCATCATCAAGCAGAATTTCCCCCCCGGCAGCTTCATATTCTTCCTCCACAGATGCAGCCCGACGAAGACAAGGAACTGTTAAGGAATACATAAACTTTATCATCCCATCTTAATTGAAGTAAACAAGATAATGTAACAAACTACAGATAAAGCTAGAAATCAATAGTCCCCAGCCATACTCTAGTTAAAAACAGGTGTCGTCCCAAAGAAAGTAACAAAAAGATATTCAAATGCAGGCTCAGCGGAAAAGATTACAAAATGTCTATTAACAAAACTTTCAAAGCATTTTGTACACATTGACAAGTTTAAAGCATGCAGAGTAATGAGAAGGGATAAAAAAGAGCAGGCCTCACCACTTCGAGTTATTAAAAATTGTTTTTCAGGAGGCAAGTAATGCTTCCTCTTGCTGGGTTCACCTGATTCCCTGTCCAAATCATTGCAGAATTTACAACAGTTTCTAAGTAAGTATTCAGATTGAAAGCTAGCAGTCGTCCCAGGAAAAGGTTACAACAGTAATCACTCATAATTTGTTTAAATAGCAAGATAAAAGGGAATGGAAGGGGAGGGAAAAGAAGGAAAGAGAGGGGAAAAGAAAAGGAGAGGGGGTGGAACTCTCCCCTCCCTACCCCTTCCCTCGACTTCCTAACAGTGTGTTTGGGTTAAAGGAGTTGGGGATAAAGAAACGAAGGGAGGAATTTTCCATTGTTTAGATAGTACAATAAGAGGGTGAGGGAAAAAGAAGGGAAGGGGATGAAAGGAAATTGTGTTATTTGATATTTAAGAAAGTAATCACTCCAATGTTGGAAAGATTTGGAAAGAAAATGGTAACATGACTAACATCATAAAATTCTGCATCTACTCTTTCATCACTTCCTCTCACCTGCTTTCCCATGCTTCTTTGTCCAACCCTTTACAGTTTCCCTCCCGTCTTCCCCACTAATCTTATCTCCTGTTATTCCAACACATATGGCCCTGTTCTTAGATTTCCCTCCCATCCCTCCCTCTTCTCCATCACCCAAACAATGGAATTAAATTTCTTCCGCATTCCCTTCCCCTTCTCGCCCTTTCCTTTCTAATTCTAATCCAAACACTCTCTTTTCCCTCCCTCGACCCTTGCCTGAACAAGGGATCCTTCTCTCTCCCCATTCCCTCTTATCCAAACAAAGTGTCAATGTCAATTGTATCTCTAAACAAAGGTCACTTACCCATAATCAGCGCGCTACAAAAATCATTATTTCCAACGTTTCCCCAAAAATATAAAACATCCTGACTCTTGAATTCCTCCAAATGAATAAATTTCAAAACACATACTTTGTAAAAGAGTTAAAACTATAACCATCATCCATCACCAATTGATCACCCAAAGTAAACCAATCAAACCCCTCTTTATCACTTAAGAGCTAAATATATTCAATCAACAAACATATCCTCCAATTTCAAAAAAATTATATTCGTGCTTAGGAATTAAACCCAGAAATTATCGTAAATGAAAATATAATTGTAATATTAAATTGAAGTCAACAAGGTGAAATTAAAATGAAACAATTGAAATTAAATTAAAAAAAAAAAATATACCAAGACCAAGTAGGGCATTTGGAGACGAGATTATCGCCGGCACGGATGAATTCGAAGACACTGAGAACGCCTTTCTCTTTGAAAGCGGAAACAGTGCGGGGCCCAGTAATACGCTCGACTGTACCTTTGAATGCTTCGTGAATCTTCTGTGATAATACCATCTTCTTCTTCTTCTTCTTCTTCTTCTTCTTCTTCTTCTTCTTCTTCTTATTCTTGTTTGTAGCAGCTAATGGAAGGAGAGAGAAAGATTGAATTGATTGATTTGCAGAAACAGAAACAGAAACTGTGTTTCAATCAAGCAACCTTTCCGTCTTCCTTTTTCTTTTTTATTTTTCTTTTTTTATTTATTTCAACATATATCCCTTGTATGAGTTGTATCATGAATTTATGACTTGTACCTTAACCCAACCCAAATGCCAACCTTCCTATTAAATCCTGAGTTTGATTATGTACACAAACAAGCTCTGTATCGCGTACCCTAAAAAAATATATATTTTTTAAAATTTTCTATTTAATAGGAGAGCACATTCTAAGTTCAATCCCCACTATTATGATAAGTTAGAGATGACATTCCATTACTTTTTACTCTTTTAGCCTACAAAATTGGGCTGGGTTGTAACCCGTGAGAGATTTTGGCCCAATAGGCCCTTTCAGCTTACTTATGTGCGCGAAAAAAAAAATATATATTTTAATGTATAATATTACTCATATAAAATAAAATACAATTACAATAGTATTATGATGTACAGTAGAAATCTATACCTTTTGTCTATTCATAGTAAGGGCTGAGCAAAACTACCCAAAAATCCGAACCGTAACCATTTCAAAAATTAGGGTACCTGATCCGATAATCATAACGGTTTGGGTTACCCATTTCGATAATTTTTTATTGAGTATGGTTATTACTTATTAGGTATCATTTTAAAATTAACGATTACCCGATCCGATCCGATAAGCATTTTTTTTGTTTTTTTTTTCCCTACTTTAATCTATTTGGTTTAAATCTATACTCTTACTTTACTTCCTAATCACTTTATAATATCAATGATTAGTAATATTATTAATAAGTTGGTCAAGATCATATAGTATTGTTGTTAATTAGTTGTTAATGATATCTTAATAACTACTATTAAGTTTAATTATATATCATTATTGGATATATTATTGGTTAGTCGATAACTGATCCAAAAATCTGAGTACTTGAAGTCTTGGTACCCGAACTTATCGGTTCGGGTTATGGATATCACTTTTAGTGATTTTGGTTATCGGGTACCCGAACCATTAGAACTAATGGTACGAGTACCTGTCCCATGCTCACCCCTAACTCATACTATAGTTATAGAGTTGCATGTTGATGTGCAAAGAGCAAGGACTTAGGGCCTGTTCTGATTTACAAAACTGAGCTGATTGGAGTTGAACTAAATTGGTTGGAGTTAAACTGAAATAAACATTACATTTTATGAGATAATGAAATTAGGAACTGAAGTGAACTGAATTGATTGAAGCTGAGCTGAAATGAAATTGAGTTGAAGAGAACAGACCCTTACAAGTTTAATTATGTATCAATATCAAATAGGGAAATATGGACCAAAAGCAATAAAATTATTCTGTATAAATATGCACATATTGAAGGACGGGTTACAAACATAGTTAATAAATTATAATCTTCAAAAACAAGTTAAAATTTAAGTCTATCACTTGGTGTCATATAAAACGTGACGGTATTTTTGTTGTGCACCATCTCGCTAAGGTAGTGCCTTTTGATTGTGAACAAATATGGGAAAACCATTGCCTAATGAAGTTTCCCTGTATGAACTATGGATATTTTGTTGATTATAATTAATACGGAGTATTAGCTAGGCTTCATCTCAAAAAAAAAAAAAAAAAAAAAAAATTTGAAAATGAAAAGGGTATTAGCATCATCCTTTGGTCATAGTTGCGTTATAAGCTGAAGTAAAAAAGCAGAGAGCCCTTATAGCAATACTATTGGATTTGATCCACAACAGGAAAATGATCTGAAATCGTGGGCCATACAAATGGGCTTTAATCGAATCAAAACGAACATAATAGGTGAAGATTGGTCATTGGATCTGGCCCACATTGAAAAAGTTTGGCCCACATGTTTTTTTTTTTCTATAGAAGTCCGAGCCAAAGAAAGAGGCAAGTAGAAGAGGATTTATGTTGTGAAAATGATGACGGTCAATAGTTAGGAGTTAAAAAGAGAAGAGAGGTGATCTTCTCCCAATCATGAAAAGTGGAAAGCTTATTAATGGTTTGAATATTCTTTGCTACTTCACACAAGCAACTAATTCAACCTTACAAAGCAATTTAATAATTACCCCTTAATATTTTTTTAACAAGTTTTTATTTTCTTAAAAAATAGAACACGATACATGAGTGATTATCAAATTAGCTTATCATTGTAGATTAGTAGCTCTTCCTTGTGACTGATCTTGAGCCAAAATTTAGGGGTGGGGGGAGGAAGACAAGATTTGATCCACTAAGCTTTTAATCAAAAATAACAATACTCAACCAATATTATATAACTTATAATCAACAATTCAAAAAACCTTAGGGGAGTTGAGCCCCCGGCCTAACAAAGATACCCCCTCCACCCTATACCAAATAGCTCTTATTATGTTTGATTTTGGCAACTTCCATATATACAAAATATTGTAATTCACCTTGTCACATTATATTTCAAGGCTAACACATTTTTAAAACTACTCCAAATACTTCGTACTAAATAAATAATTAACCCACATACAATGCTTTATTTGTAGGTTTTTTTTTTTTTTTTTTTTTTTTTTTTTTTTTTTTTTTTTTTTTTTGAGAAACAATGCTTTGTAGTTTGCATGAGTTATTTTGTTATTTTCCCCGTCCTTGCAGCTTTGTTGAGCTACATATGCTTGTGAATGGATTGATTATATTTTTCCCTCTCTAATGGTAAGCTTGCAGGTATATCAAATTATCAACTATTTTACCTTCGGACCGTATTATATGCAATTTTAGAATCTTTTAATACAATATCTCACAAATAATACCTCAAATCTGCATATAATACGATCTGAAAGTAGTACATGTAAGTTAATATATACTTTGACTCACTATATATATTTATATATATACACACACGAATTACATTGTGAGTCTTGTGACATCCTGACATACTTAGCTCTCAAGTTTAATACACTTCTTCTTCATAATATAATTGTACTGTAGTATCAAAGTAAATTAACCCCATTAAAACTCATTTAGAATTTACTTAAAGTAATTGTCAAAATATATGCAAATTAAATAACAAGTAGTAGGTTGCTTATAAAGAGATCGAAGGGCCAATATATCTTCTGATCATCATCACATCAAACATGCTTTAGCTTGAGATAAAAATCTTAGCTTAGAAGATTACTAAGTCGTTTTTGGAAGATTAATGATCTTCTACCTCTATGAGAACTACAAGCACTAATTAAACACAAATTTTTATTTACAACTACATTAAAATAATTAACGTAACTATTAATAATCAGTTAACCACTAAAGGAGAAAATTAAATTAACATTGATATTGTACATTTCACCATATGTAATGAATCTGATCAATTATTCAACCATAATACTCAAATTCATAAGATAAAGAAAATGTAGGAATTGAGGTAGTAAGAGAATCACAAGACGTACCATCCATTAAAAAGTTGATGATATGATCAATCAATGACATACACACAAATATGGTTGTGAATTGTGATATGTTGTTGGGGGGAATGAAGCCTGGTCCGAGATCCTTCATGTACGAATGAATCGTCTCGAACCAGACAGCATTCCCCTCAACTAACTAAGTGTTAAATTTCGAGGGATCGAAGAGGAGCTGAGATAGCTAGGTAGAAGGTTAGAATGACGAAGAAGAAGAAGAAAGGGTTAGAAGTTATTCTGGCTTGGCCATGCAATATAATAAGTGTGATGATATTAAATTCATGGGTTCGTTGGTTCTCTTTTATACGTGTGAACAAACTCAATGTTTTTCTCATGATGTGGGTCTAGAGCAAGACCATGGAAAACCAACTTTCTAATTAATAAATTTTTTTGGCCATTTTCCACTTTTCTTGCCTTTTTTATTCTACCATGTTGGAGTATATACAAGACAAGCAAAAGTCTCTATCTCAATCTCCCATGTTGGAGTTTATCCATGCTATATATATTGTAATCTGGTCCGTAAATAACTTTTTTGTTTTGGCTGTACGAATAATATATCTACTTATACTTCAGCGTAAATAATTAAGTTTGTTAGCAGTTCTCGAGTCATTAATGCCAACGTATAATAAGCGGATGCCAATTATCTTAATTAATTCGTTAAAAGATTTAGGATGATGTACAATACATTACTTGAAATCATATCTAAAATTTGGCATTAATATAAGTATATAACACAGTATCTACATTAATTGAGAGAGAGAGAGAGAGACTTGTAGAACTACATTCAAACTTTGTATGCATATATCATGAGACATTTCTTGTACGACCCGTTCTCTTCACTTCATTTCCTAATTTCCTTCTCTCATACTCCTTTCAATTTAGTTCAACTTAATCCAGTCAATTCAGTAAATCAGAATAGACCCTAAGTATAGGATAATATTTGTAAAGGTGAAGTATGATGATATGGTTGAAAGCAAGTGTTGAGGCCTTGAGGAGTTGAGGGTATATCACGTATATGTACATAGTATATGTACATAATAATACAGAGTACTAGTTTGCTCTCTTTTGAGGCAGGATTAGCGAGTTTCCGAGACTGTAATAATTTGGTGGTTCATCTGATAATATTTCAAATGACTATGTTAGGACCGGAGCTAGGGGGTTGTGATGGCCGGAATCAACAAAAATTTGCCGACTATCAAAATCAGAGTCCATGGATCTAAGTATCTAACCCACATCATAGAGCAACCAATAATCTATATATAAAGTATATGTAGATTGAAGATGAGGCAACCTTACAGAAAAAATTCGAGGTACACTTAGTTTTAAAGAGCCTTTTAAAGCTGGTATATTGAGAACAATCTATTGCTGCTATATTTTAGCTTTAAAAGATCAGATGAGAATTTTGCGAAAATAAACGTTATAATTTCCAACATAATGCTTTATGCTTTAAGCCATCTTTTCCTTTACACCTTTTTCATTATTGGAGTTTACTACAATCAAGGCAGACAAAGCTAAAATAACATTCAAGAAATGGTCATTTCATAACAATTGATCATATATTTACAACTTTTACAAAAAGATGGGTGACGATTAATTTTTCTGACGACTGGTAAAATCAGTGTTAAGAGAGTGTTGAGTAATATAAATAAATTACCAAAGACGATACATTTTTCATCAAACAGGCGTAAAAAGACCAACAGGATCTCCACAGCGCCAAGCACTCAAGGTTAAAAGCTGACTTTTCATCTATGGCTCAGATCTCCACAGTATGCTCCACACATAGCTGACTCTATCTCATTCGTATTTCTCATTGTTTTCCAATGTCTCCTGTAAGAACATATAATTAATTGAGCGTTTGAGTCCCAAACTCAATCTTTGACATGCTAGGACTTGTTTTTAAGAATGTCAAAATTATAGAGATTTTTCTTACCAGAGATCTTTCCCTAGGCTTCTTAAAATATTTGGCAAAGCCTTACTGCAGCTCTTCCATCTCTGAAGCTGGAGTTAATTTGGATGAGTTGGAGGTGCCTGCAACCAACATATAAGTCTTAGAGAAAAAAAAAAAAATCGCACAAAAAGGAGATCCATTATTTTGGATTCAGGTATATATACATATTTGACTTAACCAACATTTGTAGTATTCAAAATCTACTTTGAGGATGATATATAACCAGAATCTAATTTGAGGATGCTTTTAACACCAACCTTTATCGCAGTAGCTTTAAATTTGCTTCTATCACCTCCTAAGGTTAGCATAAAATTTGATAACATATTTGACAAATTTACAGTTTTAGAATAAACAAATAAGATAAGAAGCAGAGGAAGTGACCACCAATTCACAAACAATAGAATCTTGTAACCCTAGCAAGATGTTAGAAAGACCTTTGTCCTAGCTTTACCTTGAAGTTTCCCTCTACAATGCTGAAAACGGAAAATAGCTATAGTTATCCCAGAAGTTATTTTCTATGAATCTATCTAAAGTAACATGTACGATTATATGATGTTTTTTCAAAAAATTTCAAGAGCAAGCTGACATTATAAATGGAAAATGAGACACTTTGAAAGGAAATGAAGATAACAGTCTCCAGTCTTTCCCTTCCCCCTCTTTCAACTCCATAAATCCATTTGTATGTATAATTATATATGCAGCAAAGAAACACACATTTACCTTGACTAATGGCTCCATTGATTTTGCTTTTGAGAAACCATCCCATTTAACTTGGAACATTGCCGCCAGTATCTGAAATTAAGCCCAGCTTGTTGCATGTTAAAGTTATGAAGGTCTAAATAAGACCGAGCTTCATTTAAGTCCATATTTGATCTTCAGCCTCTTTGAGCTTGTTTGTGATGTTGCTCCTGTTAATGCCTCTGGTCAACTCAGGGTTTAAACACCGTTTCTTGATATTTCACCGATATCATTCCAGTTTTCGAGAACTTGAAAACATGCAGAATCCCTTATACAGTAACAATAGTAATGTTCATCTTTGACTATTTGTTTAAACTCATTCATCTCTAAGCACTTAAAGTTCAAATAGCCTTTTACTAGATGGCACGGCGTTGGTAACCAAATTACTAAAGAAGTAACATCAACAGCCAAAATTCAAGTTGCTAAAATCCCCTGCATTTGGTTATTACAGGAGACATTATTGACGTCTAGCCAGTAATACAACATTGTATTCCATGTTGAATAATCAGTTCTAATACCTTTGCCAATCATTTGATGCAGAATCTTTAATGCTTTCTGCAAATCACCTTTACAGCAGTACGCAAGTATCAAAGGGTTGTAAGTTTCCTCATCAAGCAAGCAGCCTCTCTCCTCCATCTCCTCCATAAGCTTTAGAGCACTTGCAGTTTTTCCTTGACTGCAGAATCCACTGACAACAACATTATAGGTTGATGTAACAGGAAGGTAGCCATGCCCAAACATCTCATTCATCAGCTGAAATGCTTCTCGGACATGATTATGTTTGCAGAAGCACTGGATTAAGCTAGAGTAAACAAGAGCATTTGGAATTCCACCTTCATGAAGCATTTGGTGATAAACTTCTTTTGCATTTCCTATGTTATCCTCTTCACATAAACCTATAATCCTCAAGGTCCTGTCAACTGCCCTTGGAAACAAATTTTCCATCTTGTTTATAAATTCAAGGGCTTCGTTCCAGCAATTTTCACGGTATAAACCATAAATGACACTGTTGTAAGGACTAATGCGACCCCCACTACCATTTTTTGACTCTTCCATGAGCTCCAAAACCTTAAATCCACTTTCTAAGTGTCCTTTAGAACATAACCCTCTAATCAAGGTGTCAAATGTTACAAAATTAGAACTTATTGCAGCCACTCTCATCTCATTGAACAAATCAAGGGCTACAGAAGACATATTGATTTCACAGAAGCCAGCAATTAAAATGTTGTATGTGTCAACATTTGGGAGAAAACCTTTAATCTCCATGTCTTTCTTAAAATGCAATCCAACTTTTGCCTTTCCCAGACTACAAAATCCTTTAATTAAAGTATTATAAGCCACAACATCAACAATACCCTCATTCCTTTCGACTCTTTCCAAGACCTCAGCAGCTTCATTGACACGGCCAACATTGCATAGTAATTCCATCACCTTGGTTGTCGTCACAACATCAGGAGCATGTCCTAATGCAAAGTTCTTCTCCATAAGCACCAGTGCTTGAACAAGATTTTCTTCTTTACAATATGCTGATATCAATAGATTATAGGTGACATGATTAGGTTCTACTATCTCACTCAACAAACTCCTAGCTCTACCAACTTTCCCATTCTTGCAAAGGGCGTGAAGCAATGTGTTATAGATCACCGTGTTTGGGGTCAAACCTCTAGTCTTCATAACCTGTAAGAGTTTGAACCCGTCTCCTATACGATTAGTCAAGCATAGTCCTTTCATCAAAGTCCCAAAAGTATAATCATCCCCCTGAACACCACACTCCATCATCTTCTTCCTAAAGAAACCCCTGGCAATATCAATATCTTCCTTAACCAATACATCAAGTATCGAATTATAAATTTTCAGAGATGGAGCCACACCAAACTTGTTCACCAAATCAAGCACTTTGATAACTTCTCGTATCCTTTTGGCCCGTCCCAAACCCCGAACAAGCGTGACAAAGATATCTTCATCAGGCGGCAAGCCAAGTGAGGTTGGAATTTCATGAAGCAGCAGGGGTATTCCATCAAAACGACGAAAAGCACATAGCTTGTGAACCAAAGCTCGATAAGTAGATTGGTTATGGGTAAAATTGGGAAGTTGAGAAGCCCATCTAAAGGTTTTGAGGGCTTCCGAAAGCGATTTTTGTTCAAGAATAAGATGAGCAATGTGTTGATGAGTAGGTGGAGGTAATCGGGTTGGGGACGATAATGAGCACATGAAATTCAGGGTTCCAATCATAATCTTTGAATCAACATTACAAGTAATGGCAGGATGGCAATGCCAATTAGACGGTATAATTGGATTCCGAAAAACCCTAATTGCAAACATATTCATACAATCATACAACAACAACTACTACATTTCCCAGATCAAAATCTATGATATTCTCAGTATTTCTGAGTCAAACAAATTATTCCAATTACTTGGTATTCTACTAATAATTATACAATTTATGAAAAAGAATCAACAATATGAGAAATGGGTACCCTTCCATAACACCAGAAACATAATCAGTCATCAAATCAAGCAAACCCTAGTTCAAAAATGGGAACGTTGCAGGAGACGAGAGAGAGATAGAGCGGTACCTAAGAGTGAGTGATTCTGAGTTTGATTTCAGGGAAATCCGACGAATTGTTTGTCGTCTCGTCGGAAAAGTTTGATTTCAGGGAAATCCGGCGAATTTCTTGTCGTCTCGTCGGAAAAGTTTGATTTTGCCGAGTTGTTTGTCTGATGAAGAGAACTGTTAATCAGGGTGTAGAAAATGTGGACAAAGCTACAAACTTTAACTACTATGAAGGTTGATAGCCTTACTAAAAATAAAGTTCTTTTTTGAAGTGTTAAATTTCAACTATAGTACTGTAATGTAATTGGTATTTATGCTAATGCGGAACTTTGATCAATGCTGTACTACTTTGGAACTTTTAAGTTCATAAAACTTTGTGAGCAATCTCAAAGGGACGATAGAGTCATTTTATTGGAGACTTGGAGAGTGGGGTGGCTGAAATTGTTTCTGAAATCCCCCTAGAGACTAGTACTCGTAGTTTTAGTTGTTGTAAGTTGTAAACGTCTTGTTGGCATTAATCATTTGCTTGGTTGCACGAGGATGAGGGTAATTGTAGACGTTGTAGTTGTAAAGAGCCTTTGTACTTGCATATTGACAAAAAATTCATGGTGCAAATTGCTAGTTAGCTAAAAAAAGACGACAATTTTGTGAAATAAAACCTCGTAGTTTCCATCAAGCTAGCTATATTTTCTTTTACTATTGGAGTTACTATAAACCTATAATAAACGCAAAAAGTGAATATCCAAGATTCGAAGTCAATACTTCAAAACCAGGAACATAGAGTAATCATTTGAAGGATCTCTTTTTTATTTAAAGTAAGAGAGTGATGATTGATGAGTGGTGTAATAAAGGTCAAGAGATGAAGAGAACACTGAATTAGAGCATAATGCAATCTCTCATTATAAATTATAAAATAAGTTAACAAAGATATACAAATTTCATCACACAAAACACTCGAACGAGTCCTCACATGTAGATGCAGTTGATTGAGTAGGTACATTTTCCCCGGCAAGTCAAAAGATAGAGTGATAGAGGACAAAGGGCAAAAAGAGTAAACATAAGAAAAAAGGAGCGTCAACTGGAAGTGAAATTCAACACTTTGACCCCCTAGCCTTCTGAATTAGTGGCTCATGATCTGCATATTATGCTCACCGTTCATAGAGCATGATATCGCTGCATTCATGACTGACTCATGTTCTTGTTCGATTTGCTCATTGTCTTCACATGTATCATCACTTATCTTTGGCATGCCAAGACTAAGGCGATTTCCCTTGTCAGAGTTCTTCTTAGCCTTGGCTCCTTGAGGTATGCCAACGGCATCACTGCAACTCTTACGTCTTCCAAGCTTGGGTGATTTTGGACGAGTTGGAGGTGCCTGAAACTAGCGTAAATAATCATCAATCATTTTTCTTCTTTTTTCAAGTTCCAAGGGGTGTCCAATACAGACTTCAACAATTTTTAGGATTCTTAGGAGTATACAATTTTTTTATGAAATACCTTCTTCAGGTCAAGCTTAGGAGGCGGTCCATCGTGGTAGAAGCTTGGCATAGGGGTGGCCTTGAACTTTAAATTCTTCCGCAATTGCTTTATAGTTGCTTCTATCTCTTCCTAAGATTAACAAGAGTAGAAAAATAACCATGCTCGTGTAAGCAGCTTTGATAAAATCTCAGGACACAGTAAGACATTAGAAAGATGCTGTACCTTTGTCCTTGCTTCACTTTGAAGTTTCTCTGCCTCCAGCGCTTGATGTTTTTCCTCTAATTTGGAATAATACTGAACATGAAAATTTGGTATAAGTTACTCTAGTTTCTTCTGATGGTACAGATTTCAGCAGATCTTAAAAATCAAATGCCATCGTAATGTGTATAGTGTGTATAGATATAAGATGTTGCAATATGAAAATGGACAGATATCTGTCATAACAAAATGGAATATGAGAGACAAAGTTTGAAAGGAAGTTGGAGAAACACAAACCCCCCTCACCCCATATGTATATATTTCTATCTAAATTCTGAAAAACCTAATCAATAATTATTTTAAAGCAAGAAAAGTGAAAGGAAGTACCTCACCCCATATGTATATATTTCTCTCTAAATTCTGAAAAACCTAAGCAATAACTATTTAAAAGCAAGAAAAGTGAAAAGGAAGTACCTCCCTTCGCTTCTCTGCACGTTCAGATGACCTAAACACGGGAGCTGATGCAACAGTTGTCTTAGCTCTATAAGCGCTCGCAGATGGTGCAGCACTGTTCATGGTTAAGGTAAATCTAGACATCTAGTTCTTCACAACTTCAATAAATAAGCATAAATTTTTCAGCAAACTAAAAGAAGCACACTAAACTACAAATACTAATATAATGGGCTGCTTGGAATCTTAGGATACTCAGAAACACCAGAATTTGAATCTTCCTCGTCAGGATGCCTTTTGTTGTCTGGTTGCAGCTGCTTCTTTGATATGGGGATTGAAACATGCTGCAAAGGAAAGAAGTAATATTAGAAAAGTAACAGCAGAATGAACTGTATCTGATTTACATGAAAACTGATAACTGTGATAAGCAATCTGTTTCATTAAAAAAAAAAAAAAGGCTATAATGCTATAAACCAAATAGCAAATGGGCATGAGTTGCAACTAAGATGTCACAAGATGGCTGGTAAAGTAGTGGTTCATGTAAAAAGACATCAAAATTGAAAAATGTGCTATTTACAATTAAAATTGTTTTATGAGAAACTAAAGCAAGCTCTTGTTTTCTAGGTACATAAAAAAAGGCATCAAGAAAAGTCGGGGGAAAGAAGGGAACAAGAGAAGAAGATGGTGGAAAGATGTATGCTTCAAGAGGGATAAAAAAAAAACCTGATTTTTCTTGCCACTGCTGGGTGGATGTGTAGTCTTTGATTTTGATGACACTTTATTTGCATCAGTTTCAGGTTCCAGAGGGCGAGTTGATGCTCGCTTTTCAGTAGCCAAAGCAAATGGCTGCGGAATTGTGCAGTTAGCTCGACCATTCGTGTTACAAGTTTTTGGTGCAATCTTTGGCGAAACTTTAGCCCTTATTTCACCCTTTGTTTTCAAGCTTTGAGCTTTAACCTTTTCCTGCAAATGGCCATTGTGATCTGTCATACTAGGACAGTCCTGATCTTCACATTTTTCAGCCTGACAATCTTCAGAAATCTCAACTGTATTATCTGTGGTACATTCCTTTACATCATAATCTTCAACCATGGAAAAGGATTCAGGGACCACATTGTCATGCTCAACTGATTTTAAGTCATTATGATGAGTTTCTGCATCCTCATGACTTGAAACAGGTGAAGCACTACTGGTATATTTTATGACACCATCAGGTTCTTTGTCAGTACATGCTTCTCTAACTTCCATCCCCATAGTACTGCAAAGCCGATATAAAAAATCAACAGCAGAAAAATGATTTGCAACACGAAATTTTTCTAATTACACTAATACGAAAGAAACTATGTCTAGCTTTCATCTATAACAAAGCAAGATGAAACTGATCAATTATAATTCCTTAGCATGCAAGGATTTCTCATATGAATAGTCTCAAACACAGTATGCATATAATACATCCATAGGCCAAAAAATAAAACAGACAACTATAATCCAAAAAAAACAGACAGCTATTGATTACATATACAAAAAATAAAAGTAATTAAAAAATGGGGAAGTACAGCATTAAAAAAAAAAAAAGGCAAATGCTTAAAGTATCTGCATGTAAGAGCAAAACTATTATGGATAACACTTCACCATATTAGCAATTACAAGAGACTGCTTCAAATATCAAAAATCATGCTACGGCTTAGAAATGAAAGGTACATCCATACATGAAACCTAAATCATACATAGTAGGAAAACCTTTTTTTTTGTGCTGGTAGGTTATTAGACAATAAGAATAATACACCTTTCTCTGTTTTATCACATCCCAATCAAATCTCAAAAACAATACCTGTCCTCTTAAACACAATAGTGACATACTACTCTACTTGCTCATGACACAATTCTTGCAAGGCATTTCTCTAATACAGGTGACCAGTAGATGTGACATAATCACTTTGGCAGGTAAAATATGAATTTCTGTACCTACCACATCCAACACAATATTGCATCATCCTACAAAACTAAGCAATGCAAAATTATTATTTTTTTTTAAAATAAATAATTGACAACTAAATTTCATGCAAAGATGATTATGGGTTCTTGTCAAGTCTCTTAGCTCAATATGCTTCCAAATTCAAAATTATACATTTTCCTAGGCTGAAAATTGGTTAGACGTTTGAGAATTATGTAATACAACTCCTAGAGCATATATTTTGTTTAGTTTTGACCTATGAACCCAATATGGGCAAATTAGAAAGCCAAAGTGGCCTTTCATAAAAGTAGCTTGTTCTTGGCATGAAATGAGTGATCATATGTGCACACTCCACAGTGTCCACACCATTATCCAAATTTGAAATTCAATGTAAACTCACCAAAGTCGGATATTTTCGCTGACAGACTATAAATGACAAAGGGGTAAATACCAAAACCTGTGACTGCAATATTGCTCACTAGAGCATCCAATGCAATGCCTTAAACATAAAAAACTAAACCAGTAAAGATCATAATATCTACCAAAGATCATAATATCCACCTGACTACCTCAACAGCCTACACCTCCTTCTAAGAAAGGCTAATTCAATTTAATGGTAGTGATAAAGGCAGTCACCACAAACGTGTGTCGACGAAAACAAACAAACATAAATAGTTATTACTTTTTACACCTCCAAAAGTGAAAAGAAGCAGTTTTTTCAAAGTGATAACACCAACCAACCAATATGAATTTTAACATTGGAGGCAGATGTCGGCAGCCTATCCCTTACTAATTCATTCATACAAGCATAATGTATTCCATTCCAATAACAAAGGTCAAATTTAACATATTTATTGATAAACTGAAAGTACATTCATAATTTGAAAACACCCAGATTATAATTAATCATCTTGACCTTAAATAATCCCAAAATAGAATTAGGAAGAAAAAAAATCAAAACTTTAACAGATGTAGCAGATATGAAACTATGACAGCATTGTAAAAACAGACCAACCCAAATTAAGAAAGTTAATCAATAACCCAGAAAACCCCAGCAAAATCTTTTCTTTCTTGCAATAAAAAAAAATAAAAAAATAAAAAAATTGAAGGTACTATAAAAAGAAACAAAAAAAAAATGGGAAAAATGGCTTACATATAATGAAATCAGATCTAAAAGAAAGAAGAAACGGCGGTTTGGCGGTGAAGAAGAGGAAGAAAGATTTAGCAGAGGAGAGAGAAAATGGAGTTTGATTGATGAAAATGAAGGTAATAATAATGTAAGAAATCTTACATTACATTTGAGTTTTGTTTGTTGGTCTGTTCAAGAGTAATGTCCTCCAAAATATGTAACGACAGGACAGTTTTTATATATAACCCTATGTTTTTTATAAGCGCCGTTAATTGACGGTGTAACGTTTCTGTTTTTTCAAATTTTTTAAAACTCACCTCCCACCTCCCCCCTACTTCACCTTCTTTTGGTCCTACACCTTCTACTTTTTACTACCTTGTGAGTTTTGCCGGTTAAGGCATGGTCAAATTAGGTTTGGGTCGAGTTTGTTTAAATAATAAAAATAAAAGGTATTTCGAAAATTTATTGTTAAAGTACGTTTTGGTAAAATCTGGTAAATAGAATAATAACCTTATTTGAACTAATTTCACTAATTAATATTATGGAACATTGTCTAAGGCTAGTTAAAATAAAGTAGAGTTTTAGGGTTTGTTCTCTTCAGATTATTTTCAGTTTAGTTCAACTTTAATCATTTCAGTTCAGTTCAATTCTTAATTTCCTACTCTCATAAAATATTCAGTTTAGTTCAGCTCCAGTTCAGTTCATTTTAGTTCAGAACAGGTCCTTATACTTATGCTTATGTATGATTTTCATACCTTATAATTTGATGTAAGGTGATAAAAGGAATACCTCTCCATGTGCATGCTTTTAATCAAATGTTTATATAGGGCTTGTGGAATATCAATTACTCTTTTCGTCTATTTTTTTCCCCATTGAAATCCGGTAACTTTTTTAAATTTTGGTAGGTAAGAGTTGATAATAAGAGAGAAAAGCAGTTTTAATTTAATCTAGTTGCTCCCTTTAACCAGAAAAAAAAAGAGAGAAAAGGAGTGGAGCCAAAGTAAATATAGTTGATGACTTGATGCGAGTAAAATTGTGGTTCTAAATAATCATTTATGATATGAGACAAACTTAAAGGGACATACTAAAAGAGGAAATTCGGACAAATATTTAGGGATAGAGCAGAGAATATAAGTTAAAAGTATTATTGGTGGTATTCAATTTAATTTGAAAATTTTTAATTACCCTTGTATCATTGTGCATGATACATTGATACTTGGTGAACCCAATAGTATTTTGTTTAGTGGATGATTTGCTCAAAGCAAATCAAATTTAACGGTAACTTCTTGTTCATATGATTTGGTATAACTAATAATAGAGGTCTATAACCAAAGAACATCCATGAGTTGGTATATCTAATACACAATATGGTGATAATCTTTTAACTTGTGTAATCAATCTATATCATGCACTAATGAAAGACTTAACTCAATAGTAGGAAAAAAAAATAGTGAAATATTAAAAGCTTGATAATATATTCAAAGATGTACCTAACAAAAATTATGGGACATAGACTACTCTAACTAAAGAACAAGGTTAATGGGCCTCAAAATAACGATCAATTGGATAAAAAAGAGTACGTGACTTGATATAATAATCTCTATTAAACCATAAAATTATGAATAATTAATATGGGTTTATCAAGTGGTTTTGGCACCTTACTACACTCACCTACTACAGTCTACAGGACTCCAACACCCACTTAGCTTAATTAATTATCCTTGACGGTGTTAACATCACTAATACACTATTTATATGTGGTGGGACGACAATGTCGTTGCGATGGTGCCCATTAAAAATGCTATATATGAGAAAAAGATTTATAACAATGAAGATTAACGTTATGAACAATAAAGATTAACGTTATGAAAATTGAAAAGGGATTTATTTTAATATGTATGATTGGTTACAGGTTTAAATAATCTCTCTGCCTTTGTTTGTAAATTGTATTTTGTGACTCATTCGGACAATACAATAAGAATTAAGTTAACGGTATACTCCATTATACTTCGTATGTTAATTTACATTAAAAAAAAAAATGAATAGAAGGAGAAGATGGTCTTTTCAATATTTATCAGGTTTATCATTGATTATTCCTGCTACCCTTTTTGATAAAGCCTTAACACCCTTTAATTATTTTAATTAACCCATTATGTATCGTCTCTTATCACAATCAACGAACCCAATTGCTGTACGTCAATATTAATTAATTGTGTCCCTTTGAAGTAACACAAACTCCTACATGTTATGCTAAAATTTATATGATGCTAATGTTTTGCCAGGTTTTCTTTAGAAAGTTTGTGGATGCATGACTTATTTAGATTAAATTATATGTTATAGTTGGTGTTAAAGCTAAACAAATAAATTGCATGACATAATTTTGATTTGAAAAAATTCGTAATTTCTAGCTTTCTAGCTTTCTAGCATCATAATTGGATAATATTGTGATCAGATCAGATCAGATCACTTGAATGGTAGAAGTTTCTTTATTATCTCATGTAAGTAATTGAATCTATATTTTCTTAAAATTTGGCTATTTGACTAATAAAATTTCATACTTATGATCAACAAATGAACACTCTCAATCTGATTGAAAGCTTCAAAGCTAAAGGTTAATTAGCTTAGGGTTGTAAAGAAAAGAAGGAGAAGATCGAGTGGCATAAATAATTAACAGGAGAGCCTGTTTTGTATGCCCGGGTTATTTACACATTAAATTTTGCTCATTTTACAAATGAGCAAAAAAAATAAATTTGCTCAATTATTAAATGCGCAAAAATTAATGAGCAAATTACCCGGGTGTATTTAACAAATTCTAAATTAATATGAGTAGGTAATTACATAATAACAGTGTAGTTAGATTGAAAACTTAATTAACAATAGTTGTAATTAACTTAAGAGCTAGCAAGATTAGTTGTTTATTATTGAATAAAAAACTTACCAACTTAGGTGAAAATCCTCTAAGAAAAAGTACCTTTAATTTAAGGAGAGGGTAAAAAAAGAAAAACTAATTTAAGTAAGTTATAGAAATGAGCTGTAACTTTAGTAGTTCAAGTGAGTGGAGTACAAGAAAGGGATGCATGATAACATATCAACCCACGCACTAATATTATGTGATATCCTTGGATTACGGTTTCAAAATCAAATTGCAATTTCCCTTTATTTGGAGGGTAACTTGTCAATTTCTTTATTATTAAGAGACTCATTCGTGGGTCCTTTAATTACTTGCACAAATCACAATTAATACTAATTGTGTACCCTGGATATTGACATCAAATCCTGGGTTTTTGACATTAATGGAATTCCAACCCTTTTTTATTTTTATTTTTGTTTTTTTAATAAATGGATGTATGATCAAGTTGGTAGTTTGTACATTTATACCCATGATTTAGGAAATTATTCACTTGCTTGTTGTTATTCTAAAGGATACTTTAGGAATAAATTTTCTACATCTGTCAATGTCACTTTGTAATAAAATATATGCATATGAGAAGATTGCAAGTTTGCAACACATTCGTAATAGAACATGGTAATAGCAGACATTTCGAAATCCTCTTACAATATAGCGTCATGATGGTTAACTTAACCTGTTTAATTTGTGAGATATTTGAACTCCAATCAATCAAAATTTGACTTAAGTTACAACTCAAAATCTTGATGAACTAAATAAGCAAAGATTACCTTTACTTGATATATAAAGTAAAGTGACAAGTTAAATTATAAAACAACATATTCAAAGTCTTTTCCAAAAGAATGGACTCCATTGCATACATAAATAAATAAATAATACTCATACTTCGTACTACCTATATTCTATTATAGACGTGTGATCATCCACAAGTATCTGTTTCATCTTCCTCCATTCACTTCTATATACTTCCTCCGTTTTTTTTTTATTGCATCATAGGGTTTTGGAGGCAAAATTTGGTAGTGGAAAAAAGTAAGAGAGAGAAACGTAAAAATACAAAATTGTCCATGTAATGTAAGATAAAATAAAAAGTAAGTGTGAAAAAGTAAGGGTATGTTGGGTATTTGCAGTGTGAACATAAATATTTTTTATCCTAAAAAAGAAATGATGCAATAATAAGTAAACTTCCTAAAGTAGTAAACGATGCGATAAAAAAAGAACGGAGGAAGTACTAGTAATTATCTTGCACTACATTTTATTTACAATTAGTGGTCTACTATTTTCTTCATACATGTAATTTAATTAACTCTTCTCGTTCATATTATGTGTGATAATTAACTTATCATAGATAATAGAAAGCAGAAAAGGGAGTATGCTTAATCATTTGCACAATTGCACTTACTACTTTAGGCATCAAATTAATTTTCCACTACTTTTGCAATTTATAGTTTTATACTACCTATTATTTCGTACTACTTTACTTTTATTTGAGCACTATTCAAATCAATTACCAACCACCGGTCCACCAGCATTTGGTCTATTTTCTTATTCCTAATAGAAAATTAAAGTTATTAAACCAATCATTAAATTTAAGTAATTACAACTCACTAGTTTGAATAAAGAGAGACCAATCACTAATTTGAATATTTTTAAATGACAAAACTTCAAGTATATATATTAAAAATATGGTGAAGGCCAATGATTGAGCTGATTAATTTACGATCAAGTATTAATTACATACGGAGTATGGAGTAATATTTTATTATTACTTGTAAACTTGAAGAGCATTAGCATTATAAAATTCTTAAACTTCCTATGTTTCTTTTACATGTTTACTAAATGTACTTGTTTGACCATTAATATATTTTTGGGTTTTTTTATGTTATAACCCTCTAACTATTCGTTTTCTACGATATGCCCCTCCTTTTTGAGAAATCTACACTGTAACCTCAAAATACATTTAGCTTCTATACGGTAACCTTGCCGTTAACAAATTCCGTTAGTGGAGCTCACTCACCACTTCATAATTTTTTTTTATCGATTTGCGTATTGGAAATGGTTCCGTTAAAGGTTTTGGGGCTATTAATGGAACCATTTCCAACACGCAAATCGATAAAAAAATATTATTAAGTGGTGAGTGGGCCCCACTAACGGAATTTGTTAACCAAAAAAAAAAGCAAGGTTATCATATAGAAGCTAAATGTATTTTGAGGTTACAATGTAGATTTCTCTAAAAGGGGGGGGGCACATCGTAGAAAACGGAAAGTTAGAGGGTTATAATGTAGAAAAACCCTATATTTTTGAGTGTTTTTAATTGTAAAAAGGCAAAACCTAACGAATGCCTCGAGGGCGTTGGATAAACTAGCTAAAAGTAGAAAGATTAAATTAAAATAAACTTTAATTATACCGATTGACGCGTGATTTTGTCATGCTTTCCCAAATTAATACCATTTTAGGCAATATTTTAAATGCTTATCCAATACCCGGGGGCGTTCGTTAGCAAAATCCTTGTAAAGATTATAACGATTGAATATTAATAAATTACTGATTTAAATAAATCAAACATGACTGCACATGACAATAATATGTCTTATATATTGAGAAGAAAAATAGAAAATTGTCTTAGTGCTAACAATCAAAACGTAACTAATACGAGTACAGAATAATAAGAAACAAAGGAAGTAGCTACCAACTTAAACCTTGAACAATAAGTTGTCTTTATTTGTGATAAATTAAGATGCAATTAGAGTTAAATATATTAATGGAGATTAATATCTCCACCTTTGGACGAGTGACAAATAAATTGAAGGCCGAAAGCGAATGTAATAATTGAGAAGATAAGCTTATCTTTATTAATTGGCTCAAATTATGAGGCAAAAGAATGGGAATTGCGTAGTTAGGTAGGATGCTTAATTGCTAATTAAGCTACCTTCTCATCCAATGCTTAATGTCGGGGGTTACAGAGTGTTTATATTAAAACAAAACTCAACAATATAAAGCATGAGGTTCTCTAACTACAAACCTTAAAAACAATAACAAATCTCAATGTATCTATTCATGCAAATTCAATGAATACTCCCAAAATTAATACTCCAATTTATTTCTATAAGAAACTATTTCTAATAATATATTTGAGGGTGCAATCTTTATTCATTGATTGCCATATTACTTTACTAACTTTTGTCATACCTTGTAATGCATCATGTCACTTCAGTAACTTTTTTTTCATACAAGTAATATATCATATCAGTGTCAACATCGTAATCGTATTATATTACAACAGAATTACAACTTATGCCTAACCTTAAACGACGGTATTATTCAATACTTGACAGTGTTAAAGGTTGACATTTTATTGTTTAAAAAAGGGATTTTTGAAGCGGACACAAAGCAGGAGGAATGATTGAAAAAAAAAAAACGATCGAGAATAATCAAAGACTGGGAAATAATACATAAGCAGAGTTAATTTTGCTTCAATGAGAGGAGGAAATGAGCAAAAGATAGGCCTTTACTAATTAAATTGACAAATTTTGACCTGCTAGGCCTTTTTACAAGTGTTAAATCCACAATTCTGCACAACAGCGTGGCTGCGCCTACATCACATCTTTATCACAAGCCTCGAATACAGCCCTTTCGCTTGACTACATGGAGACCTCTTATACATTCCTATACCCTCAATCGTAACTACAACAACAGCTGCTATAAAATTCATTTACAAAAGCTAATTAGCCATTTTCTGAGTCGAAAGCCTAGTAACAGACCAAAAACTACTATCCTAACTAGCCATTTCCTGAGTGGAAAATCCTAGTAATAGGCGAAAACTCCTAGGTGAAAAATATCTTCTTTCTCCAAAGCACAACCGTGTTAATCCAATTTCGATGCCAATTGCTGTCATTATCCAGAAAGCCATTCCTCTATAAGAAAACTACAACTTCTGAAGATGTCTTCTCTACTGAAATGAACACAGGCCTTAAATTAGGCACCAAAATCTGTATATGAAAAACCAATGTATTATGTATGAGAAAGTGTGCAGAAAAAAGAACATTCATCGATGCAGCACAAAGCAGCTTAAGAGCAAGAGCAAGAAATCAAAACCATCATTGATAACACTTACAAATAGGAGGACCCATATCATTAACCATAACCTGAAAGTCTAAAACATTTGACTGAACTAGTTTTTTTTTTTTTTGTCATAATGTCCATATCAAATTATCAATCAAACCTACTTGCAAATCATCCACCCAACACGTGTTTAACACAAACTTATTACAATAAATTAAAAGGAAAACTTTCGAGAGTTGAGCCATAACTCCAAGTAACAAGAATGAATTAATGGGAGCGGAAAAATCATACAGGGGTGGCTTATCAGAATGTATCAAAACTTGTCTTGGACTTACCTGAACATGTTTTTTCTGAAATTATTTTAAAAGGTGAATAAAACATAGCCAAAGACTGCAATTTTATATAAAGTGAAATACAATAATAAAACAAAAGGCTTACTGCTTTACAAACATGACAAATTACAGCAAAAAACAATAAAACATGACCCAAGGTAACAAGCACTTAAGGCACATACCTTCTACATCATCCACCATCAACCCGTAAAGTGATTAAGGTTCAGGAAAATCCCACATTATGACTTGGAACTCTTATCTTTGCCGCTCAAGTGTGTCTGCAATAACATTCCGAGCTTGATTGCACAATACTTGCGCGTCATTTCCCATCAAACATGGGTGAATTACAACTTTGACAGACCCTGGATTTAGCAATGTCTCCTTGCCAGCAGGCATGATACTGCCAGTTCCAATTATTGTCATGGGCACAACTGGCACTTGAGTTTTTGCTGCAACACTGAATGCGCCTTTCTACACATATAACAATGGATACATTGTTTAAAACCAAAGTGGAAGCTTATGCATTGCTAGTGGATTCTCTTATAAGTCTTCAATTGCAAGGACATAAACATCCATGATAATTAAACTCTGTAAGCACCTCAGTAGAAAACTAGAGAGACACAATACCACAATTTGAGACTCTTAAGGTAGCTGACGAATCACCGATGCTTTTCTATTAGACCAGCAACAATGTCCAGCAGCTAATACTTTAGGTAATTTAAACTGTGTTTATGGACTAATGACCATTTAGCTACAATCTCCCAAATCAGGACAGAATTCTCATAAAGATCTCACCTTGAAAGCACCCAACTTTCCATCTTTACTTCGTGTTCCTTCCGGAAAAAAGAACACAGATGCACCTCCCCGGATAAGATCCATACACCGCTTAAGACATTCCTACAATCAAATAATAGTAATCTATTAATTACTACAACCAATGATTAACATATTTCTCACTAAAACCAAAATGAAAATGTTGTGTGAGTAGAGAACTCAAAGGTATAAACTACGAGTATAAAGCAATATGATCCCTAGAAGGATACATAGTCACCAGCTACCAGTGTATACTGCCTAAATAAACAAGCTACAAGTTAGAAGCTTGCATTCTTCACTCTCATCAAAACTAAGGTACTCGCGCAAATCAACAGCTCTGCAGTAAACAAATCAGTGAAGCTCTCTGAGTAGAGAGTAGATTATCTAAACTTCTGTGGTTGCCTTGAAATATCCTAAATTTCTCTATTGCAAAAAGCATACATAAAGTATGCCAACCATATCATATTATGCGTTATGATTCCTCTGCGTGCAACCTATTCAAAAGATACCTCTTCTTATTTTTACTCTTATTCATCAAGTTCTGTACCATCAATACAACAAATCGGATAGAGTAATGCAAGAAAGAGCATAAAAGAGACTGTTTACTAAACAAAAATATGCCTACCATTTGACTTCGACTATCCATGCGCTTTAGTGGTATAACTCCCATTAGATACATAGCCCATCCAATGATAGGGTATAAGAAAATCGAAGTTTTGCTTATAAACTTAAAGCTTCGTCCAAGAGTAAGCAAAGCATAGATGTCAAGGAAGCTCTGGTGGTTAGAAACATAAATCGCAGGTGTATCTGGCTGCGGAAGATGTTCCAATCCCTCAACTTCCACATTAAAGAATGGAGTGATAGATAAAGTAGCCCACATTTTAGCAACAAAATGATGTGCTCTTCTTCTATATCGATCAAATAAAAGAACGAAAGGGTGAGATACAACCATCAGAACAAAGAGAACGATGGCAACTACAGCATTGACAGCATAAAAGTATACTCCCCTAGCCTTGGGCCCAAAAGAAGCTTCTGCAAAATGAAGCAACGATCATTAAACCAAAATCAAACATGTTAGCATAAAAGAAGTTGATAAACAGGCTCTGAACCTGAAAAGGGGAAGGCTGCTTCAGGAGTTCCATTTCTAACAATATCTGATCTTGCTGCTATATGTCTTCGTGACCTATCGAGAAAGCCCAATTCCCTGCCAATATGAAACCTTTCATTCCTCTTAGCGGGGTCAATACAGTAGCAAAAGGCACCTACACTCTGGAAGCATAAGGCCCCATCTGCAATAACCAAAGCAAGCAAATATGAGATTCTGTGAAAAGAAAAAAAAAATCCGACCAAAACCATTCAAAATAAATAAATAAATAAATGAGATTCTGTCTGCAAAATCCTTCAACATTACTATAAACACCGTCCTGTTGACCAAAAATTAAAGGGCCAACGAAGAAACAGATGCAACATCAGTCATAATTACACTTCATTGACATATACTTTAATGAAGCAACGATCATTAAACCAAACATAGCACATATACTTTAATTAAAACTGAAGCCTGGTTCAAAATGTAAAGGGGAAAATTTCCTTACATTTCATTGACCTCTTCAACCGCAAACAATGTCCTTCACAAGCCCCAAACTGAAAAATGTGGAATAGATAAAATGTAACTAATTACATTCATCAAACAAGGAAATCCATCAATTTCATTAGCAAAATCATAAATGGTCTTCTGGATGTTTGTCTGTCCAAATGCATGTCTTGTAAACAACTAAACATAATGCATGACTAATGTAAATTGACAACAAAATCTTCATATATTATGACATCAAAATCGGCAATTCTCTCAAAATAAAAATCATAAAATGTTGGCATATAAAGTAAGCTTAGTATCATCTTCCACTAACCTTTAGAAAACTATCTGAATTGAGAGAATTCCTTTTGAAAAAGCATGACCCCAATAAAGCTGTTGTCACAATTAAACATTCAAATTAATTTTGGAATAGAATTAATACAAACACATAAAATTGCCATCTTTATTGATTGAAACAAGTAAAATTACAAAGAAATGAATGCCAAAAAATCAGAAAAAGTGGCAAAATAATAAAATCAATAAAAGGGTTCTCATTTAACGATTGAAGGTAAGAAATGAAAACCCAAAATCTGTAAAATGAGATTTAAATGCATACCTTGACGACCACCAAAGGGGGAAATTGCGAGAGGAAGATGAGCAATAATAGCAGGAGAGGGTGCCATCATCATTTTCATCAACAAATCTAACACAGAAAATCCCAATTAATTAAGTTCTACAATTGAATTGAAACCTAAAATTGAACAATAATCAATGGAAATCCCCAAAATTAGTGACGGAAAATTGAGAAAGTCGCCGGCGGTTGGTGGTGGCAATAATTTCAGGTGGACGGTAATTTAAGGATATTGTGGGCTTTATTATATCTGAATTTGGGCTTTTATTACTTTCTGTTTTTTCGGATTGCTTCTCTCTTTCTATTGTTTCTATCGCTTTTATTGGGACTTATCCTATTTGGGAATTAGGAACATTTTTCTCGTTCTTTTGATCATCCGTCTCATTTTGATTGCTTAATTTAATTGCTCTATCGAAATATTGGGGGTGTTTGGCAATTGGCTTTTTACCTACTTTTGGGTTTTTAGTTTGGTCAAACAATTAAAGAATATGTTTGATAGTTGGCTTTTAAGCTAGCTTTTCCGCCAAAAGTTAGGGTATGTTCGGCAAAATATAGTTGTGAAGGTAGCTGTAGCTGTGGAGATAGCAGTGAGTTGTGTATGTAGCTGTTAGCTGTCAACAAGCTGTTAACTGTGAAGATAAATAATTTAGATATGAGGGTTCGGTAAAGTAGCGGTTGACTAGCTATTACATATAAAAATCAACATTTTATTTTTAAAACTATAGATTAAATTTTCAACAGCTACCTCAAAAGCTACCTCTAATTTCAAAAGCTAATCTTTCTAATTTTTCATAAAAGATACCTCCACCACTAAAAGCTACTCTAACCACTACTTTGCCAAACACTCACATTTTTTTTCAAGTAGTGATTTGACTTGGTCAAACCACTAAAAGCTACCTAAAAGCTACTCAAAAGCTAGCGCCGAACACGCCCTTAATAAAAGTAGCTTTTTCTATTAGCTTTTGACTTGTTTGCCCTCCTTATCACTAATAAACAACTAACAACCATTAATAATTTTACCAAACACTTTTGTAAACAGCCGGCTTAAACAATAACTTAAAAAGTCAACTCATACAGCTAATACTTCCAGCTAGTCAAACAAGCCCAGCTAGTCAAACAAGCCAACAACCAACAGTCTTTTGGGATAAATATAATGTCTTAATTGTTATACTCCGTAATTTGGTTTTATGTTAATATGTGTTTGATTTTTTTAACCCTACTCAAAACATTTGGCTAAAGATGAGTATGAGATAGTAATATGTTGGATTATACCAAAACACACCCGACACAAAAAACAATTGAACTAATCTTGCAAAATCACAAATCAAGATGCATAGCCTAGTCACATAGCACACAATAATTTTTTGTGCATGTTATGTCACACTTGTCATTATTGGGTGGTATCTATGATCTTGGAATGAATGTTTCAAAATCTTACCCCTAAATGGATTGGTTCAGATGATAAAAGAAAAAATGATGTTAACTTAAATTTATAATTTGCAAAAAAAAAAATCATAAACATCAGTAAAACATACTTTAAAAACATAAATCGTAAAAAGTACTTCGTAAGTTTGTTTAGAATTTTCATGTTTACCATCACAAATTCACAAACGAGCATAGAAATTTAGAATTAGCATTATAGTATAATTACGTTGTTGTATATGCGTATTAATAAATGGGTTGTTTGGTAGATTATGGTGTATTGTGTGTGATTGGATAAATTTGAAGGAAAAGCGAAATAGAGAACTCAAGATTCAAGAATCAAACCTTAAAAAAAATCAAGAATTCAAGAAAAAGGGTAGAAAAGGAAACGCAGACGGTTATGACATATAACGGTTTTTGGGAAGGGAGGCGGGAAGCAAATAACAACCCATAAGATTGCAACAGAATCTTTCTATTGACATCCAATAAGAAACCACCACGTGTGCAGTCAATTTTAGGCCAAATAATTTCTCCTATTTCAGGACTTCTATAAAAAGGGGAAGCTCGTATCAATTTCAACATCACTGAATTCATTTCCATCTTCCCAGAATTTGCTCACAACCTGAGAAATAGAGAGATAAACAACAAACTTAGGAGAGAGAAACAAGAGAGAGAAACGAAGCTCGACAACAATGGCGCAAGCAGTTTTGGTTATGGTTGCAGCTGAACCAGCACCATTGAAGATCAAACAAGAGGTTCACAAGAAGAATCGCATTCAAGTTTCTAACACCAAGAAACCTCTCTTCTTCTACCTTAACCTAGCTAAGGTTATTTTTCTCTTTCTTTTTCTAATTATGCTTCGAATTTCTGATTGATTTCTCTGCTTTTGATTTTAATTTTTGGTTTGAATTTACGATTTATATCCATGAATTATGATTTTGGATGATTTTTTACTTCTGCGTTGCTGAATTTGGTTGTGTTTTGCTTTTGAGAATCTGTTGGATTGTTGTTCTTTGATTGTTATTGATAATCTACATTTTATTATGGTTCGAATTTCTGATTGATTTCTCTCTGCTTTTGATTTTAATTTTTGGTTTAAATTTACCATTTCTATCCATGAATTATGATTTTGGATTATTTTTTACTTTTGTGTTGCTGAATTTGGTAGTTTAGGTCTTGAAAATCTGTTGGATTGTTGTTCTTTGATTGTTATTGATAATCTACATTTTATTAGGGTTCGAATCTGTGATTCATCTTGAGAAATGATGATTGTTAAAGATATTTAAAGTCAATATTTTGTTCCGAAATTATACGTATGCAAGATCATTGTTTCTTGAAAATTGGATTCCATGCTTCTTTTCATTGTAACATTCAAGAATTTCTTTGAGATCAATGTCCTAATTATTGATGATCAATGTATAACATCTGAATTGAATTGCAGTGCTGATACTTTTTCTGATTTTTGTTGTTGCAGAGGTACATCAAGCAGTACAATGATGTCGAACTCTCTGCTCTTGGAATGGGTATAAATATATGCTCTTTAAACCTTCGTTTGATGTGTTAGCTTTTTTCTGAAACAAGATTTATCACATTTCTTACAGTTTTGTTTTTGATTTCTTCTTAAATTTATCAATGAGGAGGTGCTAAACATGATGATTCTCAAACAAAAAATTAGGGATGATTGAGCATGATAATGTTTCAGTGCCGACTAATATTTTCTGACTGTTTTCAGCTATTCCTACTCTTGTTACTATTGCCGGGATTCTTAAGGCAAATGGTGTTGCAGTGGAGAAGAGTAAGCTTACTTCTACCACCATCTCATCACGTTATTCGCATCTCGGTTTATGAATTATCTTTTGAGTTCCTGTATATCAAATATTGTTTATCTAATAATAAACTGAATATGCACCTTGTAACAGAAGTTCTGACATCAACTGTTGGCTCGAAAGATGAGAGCAAGGGCCGTCTTGTTCAGAAGGCAAAGGTAATATCAATTTCTCTTCTGGTATGTTATGTGTATTTCCCTGAATGACTAGTCATTCTATGTTCTGAACATTATTGGTTATTTTGCAGCTTGAGATTGTTCTGGAAAGGAATGATAAATCTCCTACCTCTGCTGATGCGATTGCAAAGCCTGTACCTAAGACTGAAACCAATGCAGCAGATGAATCAAAGAAGCGTGACTCAAAGACCGAGGCTGATATTGCTGTGAAGAAGGAAGGATGATCATGTCTTTGATGCAACAATCTATTGCATCTGTGATCTTATACTCGGACAACAAGTATTCTGCAAGTTTTATACTGATAGGATAGTAATTAGCATGCATAGTTTCAAGCAACACTGTAGGTAGATGATTGTAAGTAGGTCTGTGGCGAAATCTCCGGCACTGCCACATTATGTAGATTTTAGGAAGTAGATGATAAGCCTCGATTGATTCTTTCACTTTGAAGCTTTCTGTTCAGTTTTTTTCATAATGTTGTCGAGAACTTTACGATTCTTAAGGGAGCAAATCACTCGTTGTACAAGTTGTAGATCAGAATATGTACTCAGTTTCTTTTAAAAAGAGAAATACAATAAACTGAATTGAGATTGACTTTTACTTTTATCGATCAAATATCACAAAGGAACACTGACAAGTATTTCAATTATTAATAATAAATATACAAGACATAACTGCTACATTATTTGTAGTATAGTTCCTTCAACAATAAGGATCAATAAAAGAAGTAACATAGATTCGATGCAGCTCTAACTTCTAACGAAGACCTAATGATCAGGCAAGGGACAGCTTTGCTAGGGTTAGTGCCAACACCTTGACCCCATTAGTCAAATCTTCAGGAGCTGAATACTCTTCAGGTTTATGACTATATCCTGCAGATAAATACCACAATAGCAGAAAATCATCAGATACCTATTTAACGAGTAAGATGTGATGTTTACAAATCCAATTTCTATTTGCGATTTCTTAAGGTGTGTGTTTAATTGGGATAGAGAGGAGGCAGAAGTTGTACCTTTATAGCATGGGATGAAAATCATTCCCATTGGAGATACCCTGGAACAGAGAGTGGGCTCATACAGTCAATAAAATAGCAAAGAGTTACCACATACACTCAATAAAAGATCAAAGTGTTGGCTCGTACATGATTGATGACAAGGACAAACATACCTAGCCATAAATAGGGAATCATGGTAGGCTCTGCTAACCATCAGTTTGTAGTCCAAATTCAGCTCACGTGATGAAGCTTCCATTGCTTCAATTATTTTATTATCAGCAAGAGCTGGAGGATCTTGATTTACAATTTCAAACCCTGATAGCTTGACCTTGCGCTTATTGGCTATATCAATAGCAGACTGATGGATTTTCTCAAGCACGATGTTTCTTCTCGTTTCATTAATGTCACGCGTGTCTGTAAGATAGCAGATAATAGTTTGTTAATTGCAATTTGGTTTTTTCTAGTGAAAAGCTTGAGGTTATACCTCTCCTGTGGTCCAACCAGAAGAACAGGACAAAAAGGATAGAGGTTGGGGGTGTAAATTTTAGATCTTCATGCTGAACAATAAAAATCTGAACATACCTATCTCCACATGTGCTTTGCTAGGGATGCTGTTGACAGCCCTAGGATGTAGGTCAAGAATACCTAGCAGAAACAGTAGAAAACGATCATTAAAATAACTAAAGAGAAGATAATTCGTTCTGCTTCTTTTTGATTACATGAAGTATTACTGAAATCATTCATGTCTTACCAACAGTGCCAACAGTGTCAATAGTCCCAGATTCTAAAACATGCTTTTCAACAGCCAATGCTAACTCTGCAGCAGCTAATCCTGCATCATTTCTGCAGAAGAAAAATAATACTGACAGTAACTAACAAGTTCTTTTATAAAAATGGACAATCTAGAAGAAAATGACATGAGGGAATTATTTTACAGCTTTGATTGGAGAAATTAATTAATGAAACAACATATGATGAACTTCAATCAAGAAAAAAGGCTAAAATACATTCAATACTGCTGACAGTCAGTGTATATCTAAGATGTTGATGCTGGATAGACGGTTGTTCGCTAATTGTGGGTTAATCTACAGCATGCATACCAAAATCATTAAGCATTTTCACCTGCTTGGCATCAGGGCAGCACCTGCATGACCTCCATCCCCTTCAAAGTCCACTTTGATGCTAGCAGGAGCAGCAATGGCAGTAACAACACCAATTGGAATTCCTATAATATATAAATTTACTGATTTTTAGAAAAGCAGGAACAATGCATTTCCAGTTCTGTGAGGGCATTAAAGTTATGCAAAAAAGGTGCAACCTTCAGCTTCCAAGATAGGCCCTTGTTCTATGTGCAACTCCACAAATCCAGAGTATGTTCCATAATTCATATGCACGCTAGACAGATCATCTTTATCTCTGGCATATCCAGCAGATTTTGCAGCATCTAGAAAAGATACATTTTGACTGTCAAATGTATTCTTCAGAGCCTTTTGAAGGGTTTCACTTCCTGCCATCAAACGGCTGCATATTTAAAACAGTACTCAAAGTTAGAACTTCACAAGGATCTTCTTCCCACAAATGAAACAAAGAACACCATGATAAAAAAAAAGTAGTGACGGAAAATTTAGCTATACCTTCCTAAGCAGCTGATCCCAAACCTGGTAGGCTCCTCTGATGTGAACATTATTACCTCCAATGACCGTTTTGGCTTAAATCCAGCCCTGTAAATTAATGCTTAGAATGCCCTGAACAGATGCTGGCTGCTAATGTATGATAGCTTGAAATGAAGATGGTATGGCAAAAGCAAAAGGGGAATCCAGAACTCCAGATGTATATTCACAGAGAGAAACAGGAGGGAAACTTAATGAAGTAGCCAATTGTGATTAGCCAACTGATTGTCAGCACTGTTAAAGAATAACAAAATGCCTAGCAGAGCTGATGTGACATAACATTGATCTTGATTTAGCATGAGTAAAGCATACTTAAAATAAATTTCCAAGCTATGTGAAACTCATGCTTTATGATCCTATGATTCTGTGTATTTACCAAAACTGGTTTTACTAGTTACAAACTTACACCTTAGTCAATATCTGAGAAGCAAAACTTACTTTTTCAGCACATTAATGGCTTCTATAGCACCTAGGACACCAATAACTCCATCATACTTTCCAGAATATGGAATTGCATCTATGTGAGAACCAGTTCCAACAGCAGCAAGTTCTGGTTCATAACCATCCCTGTAAAAGAAGAATGTTAAGAGCTTTTAGATCAAAAAAAGACACAGAGAAAAGATTATACAAAACATCCAATATTCTTTTATTTAAGAGAAGCTTAATCGGCAGTATGCTAGGGATGGCTAAATGCATGTTGTAGTAGCTTCTAAAAGAATTTGGTATATATGGCCATGAAATATTGGCCATAGACAATTAGACAGCAATTCACAGGCTCCGCATTGAGTCACGGCAGACCATAGAGCATAGGAATAATGTTGTCTAGAAGGAAGAAAACATAATTCTTCATTAACCCCCACGCCTACTACCATCAAAAGAGGGGTAGAGGGATGTCCCCTACCAAAAATTGAGTCAAGGTGCTAGTCACAGACCATAAAATTAGAGAAAGATTCAACAACTTACCATCGACCAAATATGTTACCGATGGTATCCTCCCTAACTGAAAGGCCAGCAAGTCCCATCAAGTTCTTGATATACCTGGAGATAGAATACACTATATTACTATTTATATTAACTGGATGCTCGAGGGAATATTGTGTCTTCTATCATATATTTTGCAGATAATATATGTATTTTAATCAAGAGAAAAAATTAGGTAATATAAATACCAGTCGGTGATGGTAAGAAGGCAAGGATAACAAGATTTTCAATAAGCAAAGTCAGCTGCACCTTCACCAATTACACGGAGGAAGCAAATTTGAGCATGTGGCTAAGTAACAGGCTACAACACTAAGGAATGTATAATGCAACAGTGCATATATCAATTCCAACATAATCTCTGGGAGAAGTATCATTCAAACAAAATAGTACTTCAATTTAGGAGCATTATAAATAAAAGCTTCAGTGACATCCAATTGTCATTGAAAAAACAAAAAGGCGGTAAAAAAGGGTTTTTTTTTTTTTTTTTCATAATATTATTCAACAGAGACCTGCAATACCAAGTAACAGATAGCCACAACCCACCAGTCGACCCAAAATTACTTTTTATACATGAAATACTAATCAGCATTCCTCGCAAGATGAATCAAACGCACATTGTTTGATAGCCCACTTTAACAAACTACCTTCTCTAGACCATCATATTAGCAAGAAGCAACTGGTTAGATGATAAATTCACTCCACAAATAACAATGAACAAAGGGTGATGATAGAGTATAAAAAACATATTCCTGGACTTCAAGCATCAGCTTAAGCTTTTGGTTGAGTTGGTCCGTTCACGGGTGACATACCTCCGGGCAGCAACGTCCTTATCGGTATATAGAACCCTAGTAACCGATGGGGCAGGGGAATCAGAGAAAGTCGCCAACTCATCAATCTGAAGAGAAAGTAATTACATATCAGATCAATTCATAAAACAGATACACGCACAATCCGCAACAATTAGGCTACTTTAGTCCGATAATCACACAATCAAAGTTCCCACATTCCTGGAGCAATCAATGCTTCAACTTCACATAATCACATATCCTTCCAATTAATCTATACTGAAAAATGACAATTCTGTTTGTCAAAACATGTATTATTCAGCAGATAAATGATGGAATTATAATCCAAAAAATCATAAACTTTCTAAAACCCTTAAAGCGCAAACAAAATCAGCATACAGCAATCAAGCAGAATCAGAAGTGTAGTACAAATTCTAGATAAAAGAAGAAAAGATTAAAGACCCAAATCGTAAAAAGTGGATAGAATGAAGGGTAAAAACCTGATTTTGCAAAGATTGAGTGTCAACGGAGAGTGAGGAAAGAGGATGGTGGTGAGGTTCAGAAGAAGGGTACCCAGAAAACTGGTGCATAGTTTTGATTGTTGGATCATCATCAACATCAACATCAACATCAACATCAACATCAACATCAGTAGCAGATATTATAGTGAGAGAAAAGCAGGAAATTAGCAGAAACGGTAAGAGAAATTGGGAGTGAATTCGTGACATTTTTAAAGAACAAGTAATGCAGTTTGATCTTGGATGTTTGGCTAATTTGCTTGTTTTGTTGTTTACAAAGTACAAACTCTTTATATTGTGTGTTTGTTTTGTAATATGGGTGTTTTTTTTTTTTTGTTTTTTTTTTTTTGGGTTAAAATATGGGAATTGTTTGTATTGTTGTGAAATTGTGGGAATTGGGTTTTGGAGGGACGTGGTTATTGGGAATCTTCCTATTTTTTTAATCTAAATAAATTTTGGACTTTTAAAATAAAAAATAAAAAATAAAAAAATACAGTAAAAAATAAGCACCCAAACTTCCAAAGTTCCTAATTTTTCTGAAGTAAATGTTTCTATTTATGAAAATATTTTAGTGTTGA